TTGTACAATTTCACTCTTCTGAATATAACTAACCAGTTATCCTAATACCATTCGTTGACTAGGGAATCCATTCCCCATTGCTTCTAATTATAGACTTTGTCAAAGATCACATGGTTGTAAGAGTGCAGCCTGCAACCTTCTCTAACCTGTTCCATTGGTTTTTGTGTTATGATTTCTGTATCAGAACTATGGTATTTGCTTAATATAACCTTAGAGTGTAGTTTGTGAACCCCCAAAATCTGAGACAGGTATCAGTTAATGTATAAAGTTTACTTTGCCAAGGTTGAGGATGCAGACCTGTGACATCCCCAGGTGGTCCAAATGACTTGTGGCCAAGGTGGCAAGGGCACAACTTGGTTTTATACATTTTAGGGGAGTATAAGACATAAATATGTGTGTAAGATTTACATTGGTTTAGTCTGAAATGATGGGATAACTCAAGGTGAAGATGGGAAAGCTTGAAGTGGAGAGGAAGCTTCGAAGTTATAGGTAGACAAGAGAGAATAGTTGCCATTTTTTTCTGATTGGTCTTTCCAAATGAGGCAGTCAGATATGAATTTATCTCAGCACAGGATAAGTCTGAATAGAACTGAAGGCAGGTTTGCCCTAACCAGTTTCCAGCTTCTTTTTCTTTAGCTCAATAATTTTGAGCTAAAGTTTTATTTTCCTTTCACATTTCTCCCTTTTTCTTTAAAAAAAAAATCTATGGGAAATTTCCACATTTCAAAATGGCTGAATAGGAACAGATCTGGTTTGCAGTTCCCAGTAAGATCGAGGGAGAACGTGGGTGATTTCTGCATTTTCAACTAGGTACCTGGTTCATCTCATTGGGACTGGTTCTAGAGTGGGTGCAGCCCACAAAGAGCAAGCCAAAGCAAAGTAGGGAATCGCCTCCTGCAGGAAGCAGAAGGGGTACAAGGATTTCTCTCCCCTAGGCAGGGAAGCCATGAGAAACTGTACCAGGAAGAATGATGCATTCCAGCCCAGATACTGTGGTTTTTCCATGGTCTTCACAACCAGCATATTAGGAGATTCCCTCCAGTGACTATGCCATCAGAGCCCTGGGTATCAAGAGCAAAACTAAACAGCCACTTGGGCAGACATGGAGCTAATGGCAGGAGCTTTTTTTTCTTTCACACCCCAGGCACAGCTGGAATGCCTGTGAGACAGATCCCTTCACTCCCTGGAAGGAGGGCTGAAGACGGCGCCAAGTGGTCTGGCTTGGTAGGTCCCACCCTCATGGAGCACAGCTAGGTAACATCCACTGGCTTGAAATTCTAGCTACCAGCACAGCAATGTGAGGTCAATCTGAATTCTTGAGAAATCAGGCAGAGAGAAAAAAATGTACTCTAAATTTTGTTCACAGGAGTATACTCAATTGTTAAAAGCTGTAGATAGCTCGAAAAAAATTTCTTGTCTCTGAAAAACAAAACAAGGTTCAGCAATGTTTTTGTTTGTTTGTTTGTATGGTTTTTCTTTTTTTCTTTTTTTCTTTTTTTTTTTTTGAGATGGCGTTTCGCTCTTGTTACCCAGGCTGGAGTGCAATGGCATGATCTCGGCTCACCGCAACCTCCACCTCCTCGGTTCAGACAGTTCTCCTGCCTCAACCTCCTGAGTAGCTAGGATTACAGGCACATGCCACCATGCCCAGCTAATTTTTTGTATTTTTTTTTTAAGTAGAGAGAGCGTTTCACCATGTTGACCAGGATGGTCTCGATCTGTTGACCTCGTGATCCACCAGCCTCGGCTTCCCAAAGCGCTGGGATTACAGGCTTGCACCACCGCGCCCGGCCCTCAGCAATGTTTTAAGCAAAAAAATAAAAAGGATTACTTCAGTTTTTTATTAGTTCAATCCATTTAGTTAACCCTTGTTCTGCTTGATATTCATGAGCATTTCAGCTCTTAATGGGTCCTGTACATTTTTATTTCAATGTCACAATCTCTAAAGATATAAGAGACCTGCATTTATGAGCACCTGTTAAAGTGCAATAACTGATTGTAAACCATCTTTTCAAGAGGATCAAAACAAAACAACAAATGTCTGTGAATGACAAAATGTCCAGGGTAGTTGTAGTCAAAAAACACAGTTGAGAAATGAATTTGGTTATTTCCATGTTTTAGAATAATGACCTAAATTATGACTCATAGCACACACTCAGATATTAGAATTTGAAATATTCCATATGATTTTGGTAGCTATATTAATATTATTCACTAAAATATGTCCTGAAAAAGATTAAACATTGTTTCTATCCCATGTAACTAAACATGTTAAATAATCCTGTTTATCTATCTTCTGGATGTTCCAGAGGTTTTCTGTAGCATCCAAAATATAGACCTCAAAACAGAAACCTTGAAACTTAAGTTTGATTTGGGGAAGACTACCAAATAGATTAAAGGTTTAAAACACTTGATATTATAAAATAGTGCTCAAATAAACATACATTATTATAATTAAGGATATTCTAGTAACTCATTTTTTGAGACCAATATAATTCTGATACCAAAACCTGACAGAGACGCAAATTAAAACTATATTACAAAGCTACAGTAATTAAAACAGCATAGTGCTGGTAACAAAACAGAGATATAGACCAGTGGAACAGAACAGAAGCATCAGAAATAATGCCACATATCTACAACCTTCTGATCTTTGACAAAAGCTGACAAGGATAAGCAATGGGAAAAGCATTCCCTATTTAATAAATGGTGTTAAAAAAAAAAACAGGCTAGCCACATGCAGAAAACTGAAACTGGATCCCTTTTTTTAAAATTGCATTTTAGGTTTTGGGGAACATGTGAAGAACATGCAAGATTGTTGCATAGGTACACACATGGCAGTGTGATTTGCTGCCTTCCTCCCCATCACCCATATCTGACACCCTTTCTTACACCTTAATACAAAAATTAACTCCAGATGGATTAAAGATTCAAACATAAAACATAACACCATAAAAACTGTAGAAGAAAACCTAGGCAATACCATTTAGGACATAGACATGGGCAAGGACTTCATGACAAAAACACCAAAACCAATGGCAATAAAAACCAAAATAGACAAATGAGACCTAATTAAACTAAAGAGCTTCTGTACAGCAAAAGAAACTATTATTAGAGTGAACTGTCAACCAATAGAATGGGAAAAAATATTTGCAATCTACCCATCTGTCAAAGGGCTAATATCCAGAATCTACAAAAAACTTAGACAAATTTACAAGAAAAAAACAACCCTATCAAAAAGTGGTCAAAGGATATGAACAGACACTTCTCAAAAGAAGACATTTATGCAGTCAACAAAAATATGAAAAAAGTGCGTCATCACTGGTCATTAGAAAAATGCAAATCAAAACCACATTCAGATATCATCTCATGCCAGTTAGAATGGCAACCATTAAAAAAATAAGGAGGCAACAGATGCTGGATAGGATGTGGAGAAATAGGAATGCTTTTACACTGCTGGTGGGAGTGTAAATTAGTTTAATTAATTTGGAAGAAGGTGTGACAATTCCTTAAGGATCTAGAAATAGAAAAACCATTTGACCCAGCAATCTCATTACTGGATATATTCCCAAAGGATTATAAATCATTCTGTTATAAAGACATATGCACACTTATGTTTATTGTGTCACTGCTCACCATAGCAAAGACTTGGAACCAACCCAAATTTTCATCAGTGACAGATTGGATAAAGAAAAGGTGGTACATATACACCATGGAATACTATGCAGCCATAAGAAAGGATGAATTCATGTTTTTTACAGGGACATGGATAAAGCTGTAAACCATCATTCTCAGCAAATTGATGCAAGAACAGAAAACCAAACACTGTATGTTCTCACTCATTAGTGGGTGTTGAACAATGAGAACACTTGGACACGGCGGGGGAAAAATCACACACTGTGGCCTGTTGGGGAGTGGGGGGGTAGGGGAGGTATAGCAGGAGGTGGGGGGATAGGGGAGGGATAGCATTAGAATAAATACCTAATGTAGATGATGGGGTGATGAATGCAGCAAATCACCATGGCACGTGTACACCTATGTAACCAACCTGCACATTCTGCATTTGTACTCCAGAACTTAAAGTATAATAAAAAATTTCAGGAAACAACAGATGCTGGAGAGGATGTGGAGAAATAGGAATGCTTTTACGCTGTTGGTAGGAGTTTAAACAACTTCAACCATTGTGGAAGACAGTGTGGTGATTCCTCAAGGATCTAGAACTAGAAATACCATTTGACTCAGCAATCTCATTACTGAGTATATACCCAAAACATTATAAATCATTATACTGTAAAGACACATGCACATGTATGTTTATTCTGACACTATTCACAATAGCAAAGACTTGGAACCAACCCAAATGTTCATCAATGATAGATTGAATAAAGAAAATGTGGCACATATGCACCATGGAATACTGTGCAGTCATAAAAAATGAGTTCATTTCCTTTGCAGGGGCATGGATGAAGCTGGAAACCATCATTTTCAGCAAACTGACACAAGAAGAGAAAACCAAACACCACATGTTCTCCCTCATAACTAGGAGTTGAACAATGAGAACATATAGACACAGGGAAGAGAACATCATACACTGGAGTCTGTTGGGGGGTGGGGGGTTAAGGGAGGAATAGCATTAGGAGAATTACCTAATGTAGATGATGGGCTGGTGGGTGCAGCAAACCACCATGGCGCATATATACCTATGTAACATACCTGTACATTCTGCGCAGGTACCTCAGAACTGAAAGTATAATTAAAATAAATAAAATAAAATTTTAAAATAAAAAGAAATTGAAGTTGAATTGTATGAAATGCCTTTAACTGTTGAGGTGATCCTATGGATCTTCTCTTATTTTGTTAATTAGGCTGGAGATAAGTAATACTTAAATGTGAAGCAAACCCTCCATTTCTGGGATGAATTCTTTGTTTATGATGTATTAACATTTTATTATGTCATTGAGTTTAATTTGCTAAAGTTTCATTTCAAATTTATTTTTCAGACATTTTACTGCAGTTTTATATTCACACCAAAATTGATGGAAAGATACAGAGATTTTCCATATACCCTGCCCTCACACAGGTATAGTCTTCCTCTTTATCAATATTCCTCACCAGAGTGGTACACTTATTACAATGAAGGAACCTACATTGAAAAAGCATAATTATACAAAGCCACAGTTTACATTACTCTTGTTGATGTACATTTTATCGGTCTGGATAAAAGTGTAATAACATGTATCCATCATTATAGTACCATAGACTTCCACTACTTTAAAAATCTTCTGTGTTCTGCGTATGTGCCCTTTTCCTGCCCTTCCCAAACATTTGGCAGCCACTGATCTTTTTTACTGTATTCATTGTATTGCCTTTTCAGAATGTCATGTACTTAAAAATCATACAGTAAGTAGCCTTTTCAGATTGGCATCTTTCACTCGATAATATACATTTAAGTTTTCTTCATGTCTTTTAATGACTTAATCACTCACTTCCTTTTAGCTCTAAGTAATAATGCATTATATGCCTGTAGCACATTTTATCTATTTACCTATTGGAGGACATCTCAGTTGCTTCACTAATTGATTGAATTTTTATATCCATGCTTATGAGGGAGTTTTTTGTTCATAATATTATTGTTGCATTGTGGTTCAAGGTAATGAAAACAATATAGAATTGGTTGGGATATAGGTTTTCTTTTTATTTGGGGGAAGGGGTAAGAATTGCAGTTATGTAGAATATTATCATTTCTTTCTAAAATGTTTGATAGAACTCACCAGCCTATCTGGCTGGACCGGGAGTTCTCCTTGTAGAAAGGTTTTCCTATGACTCTCTTTTATAGGTATAGGGTAATGCAGGCTATTTATTCTTGATTGAGTTTTTATAATTTTCATTTTCAAGGAATTTGTGAATTTTGTCATGTTTTTTAACGTAAGTTCTATAATATTGCCTTTTGTAGCATCTGTACAATCTGCAATAATGTCACATTACTCATTTCTGAAGTTAGCAATTTGTATTTTCTCTTTTTCCTGGGAAGCCTAGCAAGATAGAGGTTTATTGCTTTTATTGATCTCAAAGTGTTTGGTGTAATTGACTTCCGCTACTGTTTTAATGTTTTACTGCTTTTATTTTTGATGCCTTGGTCCTTTAGGCCCATTGTTTTAAAAAAAAATCATAGCCTGGGTAGCTTATAAACAAATTAATTTTTCACAGTCTGGACGTTACAAAGTTCAATAACAACGTGTTGTTAGGTTTTGATGTGTGTTGAAAAACCACTCCGTGATACATAGATAAATTATATTTTCTTGTGTGCTAACATGGCAGAAGGGGTGAACAGGCTTTCTGAGGTCTCATATATATATTAATCAATTCATAAGGACTTCGTTCCCATGACCTAATTACTTTCAAAAACCTTTACCCCCTAATTACATCACGTCTGTGACTTGGTTTCAGCATACAAATTTTGGAGAGACCCAAACAATCAGATCACAGGAGATATTTATTATTTTCTTTCATTGAATCCTTTGGGTTTAATGTTCTCTTCTTTTTTCTAATTTCTTAAAATAGAAGTCAAAGTAATTGATTTGAGACTCATCTAATATAGACACTAAGTGCTAAAAATGTGTTTAAGCATATTTGTGGGGACATTCAACAATTTCGTTGAATGTCGTACTTTTATTTTTATTCAGTTCAAAGTATTTTCTATTTTTTTCATTACTTATTTCATTCGGGGTTATTTAAACTTGTGTTACTTAGTTTCCAAATGTTTGAGTACTTCCTAGAGCTGTTTTTGCTATTAATTTCTAATTTGACTGTTTTGTGGTCACAGCGCATACCTAAACCCTTTTCATTTAATTTTTCCATTGAGAGACATTATATGGCCTAGAATGTGGTCTGTTTTGCTAAGTGCTCCATGGGTACTTGCAACACATGTTGTTGTTCCATTCTACTCTATTCTCATTGATTTCTGCCTCCTTATTCTATCACGTATTGAGTAAAGGTTATTGAAACTTCAGGTTACTTTAAAATTTTCTGTTTCTTTCTGAAGCTCTATCCATTTTGCCTCATATATTTTGAAGCTATTATGTTATTCAGGACATAAGCATTTAGCATGTTTGTGTCTTCTTGACTAATTGAGCATTTTATCATGGAGATATGACCTTGTTTATAAGTGGGGACTATTTTTTGTTGTAAAGTCTACTTTGGTATTAAACAGCCACTCCGGCTCAGCTTTATTCTGTCAAGTGTTGACATTAGTCCTATTCAACTTTTATTTTTATTTATTTATTTATTTATTTTTGAGGCGGAGTTTCGCTCTTGTTACCCAGGCCGGAGTGCAATGGCGTGATCTTGGCTCACCGCAATCTCCGCCTCCTGAGTTCAGGCAATTCTCCTGTCTCAGCCTCCTGAGTAGCTGGGATTTCAGGCACGCGCCACCATGCCCAGCTAATTTTTTCTATTTTTAGTAGAGACGGGGTTTCACCATGTTGACCAGGATGGTCTCGATCTTTTGACTTCTTGATCCACCCGCCTGGCCTCCCAAAGTGCTGGGATTACAGGCTTGAGCCACCGCGCCCGGCCCCTATTCAACTTTTAAATCAATTAGTATCTTTACATGTAAAGTGCATTTCTTGTAGGCAGCATGTAATTGAGTCTTGCTTTTTAGTTGAGCTCTAGAGTTCACATTTTGATTGAGGTTTTCAGACTAGTGAAAACCCAAATATCCCACGATTAAAAGCAGAAACACATTTGCTATAGAAATAAACTCTGTGCTATTGGGAAATAGCTACTTTGCTTTGTTCCTGTGTCTTAAATTAGAGCTTTTAAAATATTCAAATCTACAAAGTGATGAGTTCTTTTTTTTGTATACTAATGAGATGACCATTAGTTTGGGGTTGCCACCAAACATTGATTGACATGGTTGCCAGGTGAACCTACCCTGTGATTAGAGGGTTGGAATGTTCATCCCTATGCCAAACCTCCTTGTGCGGATAAGTACTGAATCTCTCACCAATGGCTAATGATAGGATCACTTGGAGGTTTCTAGAGGGTGGTGCATCCAGAGAGACCACAGAAGCTCCATGCTCTTTCCCACATATTTTCCCTGTATAGCTCTTCCATCTGCCTGTTCATCTGTATTTTTTGTAATATCCTTTATAGTTAATGGGTAAACAAGTAAATCAATAAAGTATTTACTTGTAATCAGTAATAAGTAATGTGTTTACTTGAGTTCTATGAGCCTCTATAGCAAATTAATTGAACCTGAGGTGGTGTTCATAGTAACTCCAAGGTAGAGCTGCTCAGTCAGAATTTGAGGAGGTCCAGATTTGCAACTGGTGTCTGAAGTGGGGGTGAGGGGCATCACGTGGGCTGGAGGCCTTAACCTGTGGATCTGATTTTATCTCCAGGAAGGGTCTGAATTCAGGTGAATTAGAGGACACTTGCTGCTGTCTGCTGGAGAAGCTGCTGCAGAATCTCTTGCTTTTGATGTGTGGAAAGAACCACACACATCTGTCACAGAAGTATTCTGTGTTTATTATTGTGTAGGAATATGAAAATTACTATTATTTTCTATATTCTTAGAGAATCTAATGTTCATAGATCAGATGACCATATTGTCAATATGTCTAAACTACCAAAATCATCTGCAATCCTTATTAAAATTTAAATAGCATTTTCTTTCAAAAATATTTTTTTAAATCTCGAATTGTTTCTCTGTGTTTTACTGATATATTCTTTGGAGTTTTCTTACAACACATGTTTTGAAATCTTTGACTATAAGACCACACGTCTTCATGACTTTATTGTCAATCTCTGGTGCTCTATTTTTCAAGTCATGGTTTTAAGAATGTGTTTGATACTTGTGGGCATAAAATAAGCACATTAAATGATTAGGTATTGTAAACTGCCGGAGAACAAACTGGAAGGAACAGTATAGACCAAAATTGATGATACAAAAGTCTTCAAACTTCTAGATCTTGAAGACCTGGAAAGAACCTTCTCTGCCTATCAAAGACAGCAGAAAGAAGCAGATGCCATTGATGACACTCTGAGTTCCAAACTTAAAGTCAAAGAGCTTTCGGTGACTGATGGTTGGAGAGCTCAAAATTGCAACATTGTTCTATCGAGGTTGAAATTATCCAATGATGAAATCAAATGGGCAGTTCTAACAATGGATGAGCAGGAAGGTCTGCCCAAGGACATGTTGGAACAGCTCTTGAAATTTGTTTCTGAAAAAAGTGACATTGACCCGTTGGAGGAACATAAACACCAACTGGATTGGATGGCAAAGGCTGATGGGTTCCTTTTTGAGATGAGCCGAATTAATCACTATCAGTAAAGGTTGCAATTGTGGTACTTCAATAAGAAGTTTGCAGAGCGTGTGGCAGAAGTGAAACCTAAAGTAGAAGAAATTTGTTCTGGCTCAGAAGAGGTGTTTAGGAGCAGTGCCCTCAAGCAGTTGCTGGAGGTGGTTCTGGCATTTGGAAACTATATAAATAAAGGACAAAGAGGGAATGCCTATGGATTAAAGATATCTAGCCTAAACAAAACTGCTGACACAGAATCCAGCATTGACAAAAATATTACCCTTTTGCACTATCTCATCACTATTGTGGAAAATAAGTGCCCCAGTGTCTTCAATCTAAATGAAGAATTGCAGGATATTCCTCAAGCTGCGAAAGTAAACATGACTGAGCTGGACAAAGAAATAAGTACCTTGAGAAGTGGCTTGAAAGCAGTAGAGACGAAGCTGGAATATCAGAAGTCTCAGCCTCCACAACCTGGAGATAAGTTTGTGTCTGTTATCAGCCAGTTCATCATAGTAGCCAGCTTCAGTTTCTCTGATGCTGAAGATCTTCTAGCAGAAGCTAAAGACCTGTTTACTAAAGCAGTGAAGCACTTTGGAGAAGAGGCTGGCAAAATACAACCAGATGAGTTCTTTGGCATATTTCATCAACTTCTTCAAGCTGTGTCAGAAGCCAAACAAGAAAATGAAAATATGAGAAAGAGGAAGGAGGAAGAAGAGCGTCGAGCTCACATGGAAACTCAGCTCAAAGAACAACGTGAAAGGGAACATAAAATGAGAAAAGCTAAAGAGAATAGTGAAGAAAGTGGAGATTTTGATTACCTTGTTTCAGCTTTATGCTCAAGAGAAGTGTTTGACAAAGACCTTTCTAAATTAAAACGGAATCGCAAATGCATTACAAACCAGATGGCTGACAGCAGCAGAGAGAGACCAGTCACAAAACTTAATTTCTAATTTTCCATGAACACTTTTTTTAGAAAGCTCATTAGGAGCCCTATAAAGTAACTAGAACGTTTCATTACACTGCCCTGCAATCCAAACAGTGGCAATTTTTTCCTATCTGTGAGCGAATGCATGAATGTATGTGTGTGTGTATATATATGTGTGTATATATTTAAAAATGTACATAGATGTCTGAGTGTTGTCTGGAGACCTACATGTATGGTTAAAAAGATATGCTATTGTATGTGCGCCGAAACCTTTCGTGTATGCATTCACTTTGAATGTGGCTCATTTTCTTTCCCTGAACACGATGACTGTTCAGAAGCACAATACTATCTCCTGAAAAAGATGACAGAGATATTCCCTAGATTCAAAGACAAAACAGAAGGAAAAACAAAATGAAAAAAAGCTTGCAAAATATTTTATGCTTTCCAATCTTGATATCCTTTGAAATTATTTTCATTGATAGAACTGAAGTTGGAAAAATATAGATTTAAAATGTTTTTTGATAGCTGACAATGTGATGTTGATGCATCACATCAGTAATAGGATGGGCTTAGAATTGCTGACATTGGTGTGGGGATACAGTCTATAAATGTTTGAGAACATCTTGAACACAATTTGAATTATGTAGAATGTCAATCAGAATTTTTTGTATATTTCAAAGTTGGACATCAATGTTTTCACTTAATTTCATCAAGTTATCTCTGCCAAGTGCTCTTGATAATTTTTTCAGATTTTCTGAAAAAACACTAAATGCAAACTGTGCTTTTGTCAAAGAACAACATTGCCAGAGTGTGCTTGCTCTAACAATATAGACATATAAACCTTAAAAATATCTCACCCAAGACTTAAAGGAAGAATTCTCTGAAAGGATAAAGATTACTAAAAATTTTTAATGGGGTGCCTTTTTGTTATAGTTTCTATTTTCTGTTTTGTAGGACAAGCTGCATTTTCTGTAAATATAGGTCTGGACTAAAGGACACATAAAGAATGCACAAAATGTCAATATCAGCAGAGATGCCCAGATCTATTTATCTCTATGTACATTTGAAGTGATTGCTGTTAATGTGTTGTCATTTTAAAATTGTGTGTCAGTAAAGCTACCTGTAAAATTTCAGTCCAAAAAAATAAAGCTCTCAGGAAGACATGAATAAAAACAACATTAGAAAATATAGATGCTTGCCATTAACCTACTAACTCTTAATATCCTTAAATTATGTGATATATAAAGAGAACTGTTACTTTTTTTTTTTTTTTTTTTGCTTTGATTTATTTATTTGTAGTTGGGGATGGGGCTAACGTTTTCTCTTTTCTTTCTATCAGTCCTGTTGTGGTTGGGTTTCCTGTGGAGAGAGTAGTTTGTCCTGTTGCACTAGAACATTATTTACTCACTAAATTGAGTCTTTCAGTCAATTAACAAATATTTATTAAGTACCTGCTATGTACCAGGCATAATAAGGCTACAATGGTAAGCAAGACAGAGTCCCTGCCCGCAAAGAGCTTACATTCTAATGGCGTTATTGAGGGATGAATAAAATACCAATGTGTGCACTGTACAGAAATCATACCATTTAAAAACAATTTGTATAAACTATAATGCTTAGCACAGATAGCGAGGTATCTGTGCTATGTGTGAAATAGTGCTCTCAGAGTTGTCCAGAGCTGTGGTTTTACTTCTTTTCCTCATTGTAAATTTAGTGACTTTCTACACATTATATGGAAATAAGTGACTAGCAAATAAAACAGTCATAAATACAAAGCAGAGGTTGCATTCCCCCAATCCTGAGTTAGCCCAGGTCTGCAATAACACCATGTTAAAGGTGCAGATAGAGACTTGGCTGAAAAAGGCTTGGAGATGAGGAGGATTGGAATATAATGAAGGATTTGTCTGCTTTTTAACTAAAGTGCCTCTATGTATATTCTTTTCTATTTGTAGCAGAAGAAATTTGGTGTGGCTCAATTTTAGAACTGTATTTTGAAAATGGCTTTGTCTTACAGTTTAAGGAATGACAGGTGGAGGGAAAGTCACATAAAGGAGCAAGTTTGTGTAGCATGTCCCTCTTGCCCCTTTTAATCATCCTTCCTTGATACGGCCATCCCGGTGGGCCTCCTTTGCCATTTCCATTTTTCGTTTCTTTCCCAGAAAACTGTGTGCAGGTAATTCCATGTGCCATTATTGAAAAAAAAAAAAAACTTTTTAGATTGGTGCTGGTGTAAGTAGCCACTTTTCTCTCTTGGGTGTGTATTTTAAAGTTTTTCTTTTTTTAATTAATGCCAAAAAGAAAATGCATAATTGTAAATTTAATGACATGTCTTCTATCTTATTAGCTTAGTAGTTGGAACCACGTAGTCTTTTGGTGCAGGACTGTTGCTAGGTAGTACTGAGAAAAAAAAATGTATGTGTAATGAGACTGTCCATTTTTTTTAAAAAGCAATATGCAATAAAGAGATGAATTCATTGGGTGTACAAAAAAAAAGATTAGGTATTTATTACAGCTTCAGCAGTCTGGCTTTGTTTGTGCTCATTCTTTCAGAGATTCTAAGCAGGTTGGTTATTGTGTTCTCCTGTGGTCACTGCTTCCTTTTCAGCATTAGAGAGGGCTTTAAGCCTAGGTTTGCCATATGTTCTAAGTTGCTGTGTTGTTCTGACATGAAAGAAGTAGAGGAGGGCTTGAAGTGGCTACCCCAATCCACTGGCTTTGCAGGTTTTTCCATGGGACTGGGACAGGCCCAGAGGTTCTGTTTATGGTCCCCTGCTTGGGATCAGGCACTTCAGTGCTCTGCACAGTGCGGGGCCCAGTGCTGGGCTTCAAGGCAACATGTGCCTGCTTCACTCATCTTCTTTGAAGCAGACACTGCCTCTGTCTGTGCTGTGCTTCCTGGGGCAAGGAGAGGATGAGAACCGCAGTCCCATGGCTACCACAGCTGCTGTAATGCTGGGTCACACCCAAAGCCCACAGCCAGAGACCAGTACAGCTCAGGGTAATAACTAAGACCCACGTTGCTACAGCCTGCCTGCCACTGAGGTTTATTTGTGTCTCAAGGCTGCTGCAAAGCATCAGTGGTGATGTGGGCTGGGACACAAGATGTCTCACCAAGGCTGGGAGTCTCTATCTGGCACAGTGGCAGGTCTAGTAGCTCTGTTCACAGGCACCAGCCTGGAGTCAAGGCTACTGGGTTTTGTCTTGTGTTGGATTTCACCATGGCCAGCCTGGCACCGGGTTGCAGGCAAAGCTTTGAGCTCATGTTTCTCTCATTTTCCCCAGTGGATAGAGTCACCGTGCTGCTGAAGAATGGTGGGGGCAGTCCCTTGGTCATTAAGGTTTAGCAGGGCAATGCTCAAAGGTCATGGAAATTGGGACTGGAAATAACCTGGAACATGTCCCAGACCCACGCTGATACGCTCTGCCTGCTGCTCAAGTTTACCCAGTGCCACTAAAGAAGGCCAGAACTGACACAAACAAGAACATGAGACTATCCTGTTGGGGCTGCAGTTTTCCACCAGGGGCTGGTACTTCAGTGCTTTGCAAAGAGTGGGTCTCAGCACTGGGCTTCCAGGCAACATGTGCCTGCTGTGGATTAATGCAGCTCTGCCTGTGGAAACCATCTACCTCCTATCACTTTCTCCATCAAATCTTCTGCACTCATATTTATTTGTTGTGTGTGTTCCTGGAGTCTCCAAATCAACTGAGGTGGTTCCTCTTGGGCTTATTTGGGATACAAACTAACTGGAAGTTTCCAAACATGCTGTGAGAAGCTGAGTCCATAAGATATATGTCTTAGTACACCCAGTCTTTCTGTAGCCTCTCTGGGTCTGTTTTCTTGGCTGGGTATTTTTTTTATTGTAAGTTAGGTTCTGGGGTACATGTGCAGACTATGGCATTTCTCCCCATGCTATCACTCCCCAACTTTAGCCCCCTCAACAGACCCCAGTATATGATGCTCCCCTCCCTGTGTCTATGTGTTGGCTGGGTATTAATTTCAATAACTAGAGATGAGTGAAAAAAAAGTGACAAGGAATTGAAGAATACTTTCTTTACTTTATGTTTTCATGACTCCAAGGCATGCCCCAGCCAAGACGCAGATAAAGCAGGACATTGAGAATTTTGCTGCTTATGAGTGTTCCAGCAGGAGTCACCCAACAATCTACAGAGTGATATCTGAGCATCCTGCTCTGTGGCTTGGTGGCTGGCAGGAGACTAGAAACTGCCTTTTCTGCCCTGAAGAGCGCACATACATCTATGGTGCATTTAGGAGCACAAGAGACAAGAGGAAGCTATAAGAGAAATAATCATAATGGAAGCTGTGAAGATCCAAAATAAACAGGAGGGAAATGGAGACTTCATTCTACAGGAAGGATCAGACTAGGACCATCCTTCAGCACAGCTGTCCCAGAAACCATGGGCTTCTGAAGCTAAACCCATCTGTCCTCACATTTGGTAATGACACCTGGTCTATGGTCAGATGAGAGAGATAGCAGGTGATAACCGAGGTTCTGTACAAAGTCTGATCACTCATGCAGAATGACAAACATTTCACTAAAGGTCAGTAATATTTTAATGAATAATATACCTGCAGCATTTATTTATTGCATTTTGTTATATAAGAAGCACTTTCGAGCCAGGCACAGTGGCTCACACTGGTAATCCAAGAGGCTGAGGAGGGTGGATCACGAGGTCAGGAGTTCAAGGCAAGTGTGGACAAAGTGATGAAACCCCATCTCTACTAAAAATACAAAAAATTAGCTCAGTATGGTAGCAGACATGTGTAATCCGAGCTACTTGGGAAGCTGCAGGAGGAGAATTGCTTGAGCCCAGGAAGTGGAGGTTGCACTGAGCCAAGATCATGCCACTGCACTTCAGCCTGGGCAACAGAGTGAGACTCTGTCTCAGAAAAAAAAAAAAGGCACTTTATTAGTTCATTAAAAGCATTTAATAACACTAAATGTATTCTTAAATAATTTCACAGATGAGAATTGTGAGTTTCAGATTGGGGAATCATTTGTCCATAGTCACAGTTAATAAGATGCATGACATGATTGCTTGCATGCGGTTAGTTCACATATTTAATTAAAATATCTGGGATTAGAGGTTATTAATAAATTTTCAAGTATTTTAGAATCATCAGTGAGTAGTCACATTTAGCATCTCATGGTAGAATGGTCAGGATATTTACACCACACCTGTGTCATGTCCTCATGGTAAGGTTTATCATGTATTAAGATTGTATGCATCTGTGTGGATAAGTCATATGTCAAGTCAGCCTGGAGGATATTTGCCTGGGCCCCAAGCAGATCTTGAAGAGTTAATATACAGAGCTACCTTTTCCCAGTGGAAAGCAAGTCCTTGACCATTGCCTGTGGGCATTGCCAGGGATGATGCAGGCTGGACAAGAATGCCCACCATATGTCCAAGAACCAGTGTCCTCCAAGGGTGTTTCTGTGGACTTCAGGGAGACTGTGTTCTGCAGAGGAAGTGGCACAGAGGTATGATGCCAGAGAACCACAGTCATCTCTGTGTGGGGTGTCTGTGGGTGACACTTTCCACACTCACATATCTAATACAAAGTCATCTAGAACACTTTCTCCATTTTCCACCCTGCCTGTACCCTGATTCCTAGACTTCCATGGCACTACTTACATGTGAACGAAGGAAATTGTTTATTCCTGTATTTACTTACTCATTCACTGACTGTGCAATGATAAGGGGGCACTGGCTCTGGGAAAAAAAGCTTGGAGAAGGAGGGAGAATGTAGTTTGGGGTTAAGGCTCAGGAATGGAAGAGAGACTGGGAAGCTGAGGACCAGGAGAAAGGAAAAGCTCTGCTCAGCCTCCCCTGGTGATGCTATACTAAGCAGGGGCTGGCAGGACCTGCAGGTTTGTAACTGAAGGGGAGGGTCACTCCAGCCACATATGGATGTCTGGCACCTAATGTGTGGGCTTCACCAGGACTGAGGGTGTCTGAGAGCAGCAATAGAAGCAGCACACCTGTTGTCTCACGTTGGAGTTTCTTGTTTCCACATTCTTTTGTCCCAGTGAACAGAACAGGACCACCCTTCCCACATGTTGAATTCCTCTCTCTTTGCAGGGAGGGCTCTTCTTGCAAATCGGTTCTTCTCCAGTTAGCCACACAAGCCCCACCCTGGGCATAGAGTGTGTGAAACCTGCCCCTGGATGTGGTGCTAGAAAGGAGACCCAAGGAAAGAGTGTGACATGGACACTCAGAGACTCTGGGAGGGACAACAGCTGAGAGGGTGAGCACCAGAAGATAGAGGACAGTGAACATGGTTGCCATGTGACCATCAGGGACAGCAGAGGCCCTCTGTGACTCCAGGGCCCAGATCTTCCCAGGTCATCTTCTTGTCACTGATCTATGCCCTGGGTCTCCTCCTATGAGCCACAAAGGACAATCTCCTCTTACAGCTGTGCTCTGTGCTCTCATTATCACACCTGGCCCCACACCTCTTCTTCAGACCAGGAATGGCAGGGCTGAATCTTGGGGACCCAGCCACTTACTGCCCAGGTATAGGGCCAGCTTCTCAATGTTGCTGCTGCCTTGACTTGCTCCCATGAGACCTGCAGATCCTCATCAATACAAGACCCTTCTCTGCCTGCTCTGGGGTCCGCAAGCCAAAGCCAGCAGAACCAGGCAATGGCTCACATGATCACCCCCTTTGTAAGAGCATTCCACTTGACCCTAATATAGGATACCTTTAAAAACGACACATCTGTGAACTGGAATCCCCATTACAGAAATCCAGTTTATGAACAGCTTTTTGGGGATAAAACATGTTACACCATAAGCTGCTTCCAACACGTGTGGCAGAGATGAGGTTCCCTGGACCCACATGCCCCAGAGAAAGGCCCAGGCACTCCCCCAACAGGTCTCACTCAGCAGCTGCCTGGTAGCTGGACTGGGTCTCTGAGGAGGGGCCCCAAGGCTCAGTCCAGGGCCTTCTATATGACTTTGGGGTTTCTCCTGGGGAACTCGTGCACATCTGAGACCTTCTGGACAAGGAAGGTTGAGCCCTGCAAGGGGTGACAGAGCCATTCTTTAAGGGAGGGGTACAAGATGGAGCTTATTTGCTTGATGCCCCTCTCCTACTCACTGTGAAGGCTGGTTTTTCTTCTTGGGGGTCCTAAGGCACCCACTGAAGTCTTCCCAAAGGACCAGAGGTGCCTGTGCTTCTTGTTCATCCAGAAGACTCAGGAAAGGGGCCCGCTTCTGCCCTTCCTGTGGTAGGCAGATTCTGAAGAGTGGATGAGCAGCTGCAGCCAGGTGAGGAACCAGCAGGCACCCCCGCCAGCGGCCTGAAATGGTTGCCACAGGCACACAGCTGAGCACCTTCTAGTATAGGCAAGGCTGGCACAGGGGTCCTTCAAGATGTTTTCAAAAGGCACCAAGGTCTCTGAGTTCCTCAGAGGTCATCATGTCTGCATGTAGCCATGGGCCTTGGAGCTGCTGGGAAGCAGAAAAGAGGCTTTCTAGTTCTAAAGGGGAAACTAAGGCAGGATCCCAGGCAAGCCCCACATTGTCAAGATGAGAATTATGCTAGTCCAAGGCTGGAAGGTATGTGTGACTCAGAGTCCAGCCTCTGAAGCACCTGGAGAGAGGGATGGCCACCAAGACCTGCCTATACTCCTCCCAGGACGGAGCACTGCCCACTTTGTCCACCCCATGGGCTGTTGACACTAAGGTTTCTACAGACCCTGTTCTTCCCACTTACTGTCGATCACCCCAACGGCTTTCTGTGTTTGCATGAGCCTGTATTTCATGCCCTCATTTCACTGTAGACGTGGAGTGTAAGGTTAAGTCACAAATGTACCCATGTATTTCTGATGGTCAAAGCTGCAGCCTGCAGATGCCAGTGCAAACCACAGACATGCCATGAGGGGGGAGCCACATGCCAGGGAGGAAGCCCAGCCCTCAACACCTCAGGCTGCAGGGAGAGGGGTGATGGTGCCGAGTTTGAGGACACACCTGGGGCATGCTGTGTGTAGGTTGAGGGAGAGGCAGCAACTGGCTCCTGTGGCAGAGAGTATGGCACAGCCTCATGTTTCCAGCTTGTGTGGCCCCTGTCTATTGCTGATGTGAGATCAGAGTGTGTAAGTGCCACTGCAGGGAACCTTGAGGGGCCTCAGGGGTTGTCTATGGTCAGAACCAAAATTCATCTCTGCTTCGCCATCTCAACCACAGTTTTCTACAATGTTCATAGATGCTGCTCAGAGGGTTGCTCCTGGCCCATGTTGAGCTGCAGCCCAAAGGAGAAAGAAAATAAGAATAGTTAGGAAGGAGAGGAGGGAGTGAAAAGGAGAGAGAGAGAACTAAGAGCAAATCCAACAGCAGAGAGGGCAGTGTTCTGTAATCTAGGCTCTTGTCTCAGTGCTAAGGGCCATGCACTCCCTTGGAGCTCCATGGCATCTGGGGTCTGGGGGTTTTGGGAGGGACAGTCTGTGCACTCTGGTAGCACTATGGCATTTGGGTGTGTATTTGAGGGGAATACTCAGAATGCCCCCTTCAGCTTCTTCCAGGGACAAGCCCCATATAATCTGTGAGCCTTGAGATGTTTGTACAGCATCTGGATGTCTGAGTTTTTAGAGGTAGAGGGTCCCCAGGCATAAACTTCAGGTGTCCCAGTCTTTCCTCTGCCATCAGAGTCCTATCAGGCTGCAGCTTTCTCTTGTAGCACCCAGATCCTGGGCCACATTTTGGGGCTTGTGAGACCCTGGGACTCTGGCCCTCAACTCTCCCTCAGCACACACACCACTGCCTGAGGAATGTCCAATATAACCATGGTCAGCCAGGCACTAAGAGCACCCCCTTCAGCTTCTTGCAGGGACAAGCCACAGAAAACCCACCCTTGCTCTCTCTCTTTCTCCATGAAGCTTAGGAGAGAAGCTGGAGAAATGGCTCTCTCTCTCTCTCTCTCTCTCTCTCTCTCTCTCTCCTCTCTCTCTCTGTCTGTCTCTCTCTCTCACTCTCTCCTCTCTCTCTCTCTCCTCTCTCTCTCTCTCTCTCTCTCTGTCTCTCTCTCTCTCTCACTCTCTCTCTCCTCTCTCTTCTCTTCTCTCTCCCTTTCTTCTCTTCTCTGTCTCTCCTCTTCTCCCTCTCTCTTCCTCTTTACCCCAACCCTCTCATCCTTTTTCCTCTCTTCTCTTTTCCCACCTTCTCTCAGCTTAAGCAGGTGGGCACCATGCCTGCTGTGTGCCTGGCAGTGGTCCCATACCATCAGGCACATTTTTAGTTAGCACTGGGTCACATCACCATCAGTCACATCATGACCATCAGGATGGGGATTTATGAGCTCATCCAGGCTTTGTGTCTGCACCAGGCCAAGGTGTTTCCAGAATGCCTCTCCCCACCTCCTTCCATCACAAGAATGGACTTTCTGTTTTGGCTTTTCATAGATGCTATAAATTATACCTAATGTGTGTGTATGTGTGTGTTTGTGTGTGTGCATGTGCCCATGGACATGGCTTCACAGCTGGGCCTTCTTGCTCTGAATCACCTCATGGATCCTTAAAGAAAGCGGTTAGTGTGGCTCTTACCATGGCTCACCCTGGCTCCGGGCTATAAGAGGTGGGCACCACATGGTGAGCTTCTTGGGAGCCGCATGGCAGCAGCAGGATGCAGAACCAAGGGGAAAGTCTCCCAAGGCTCTGCTCCTTCCTGCATGCTCAGAATCCATTAGGTGAACTAACACAGATGGCTCAGTGTTCCTATCTGCGAACACACCCTGCACACGGCTAGAGGCCACCATGCCCACTAAAGGGAGAGGACTAGGCCAGCAGAGCACCCACAAATTACAAGTTCAGAAAACCTCAAATGATGTGCAAAAAAAAAAAAAATGTCAAGAGAATTTTTCTGTCACTTTGCTTCACAACTCAGCATTTCTGATGGGGGTGATTTATGAGCTGAGGGAGCTGGCAGGGGGGTTGGGGGAGAGCGGGCAGGAGGGCAGTATGCTTTGGAGGTCCTAGAATTCCCGAGGCTCAGCACCGAACAGCCTCAGAACCAGGCTTTCAAGTGGCAATCAGGCAGGGAGCCAAAGTTTAAATTTGGAGAGAGATGCATCCCTGAGGACACAGTGGCCTCCACGTGGAGACCCATCTCCTTCTCTCTCTGGCTGTCTCCTGCATTCACTAATTGTGTATGAATAGAAGTGAGCAATGTAGCCTGGGTCAGGCACTCTGCATTCATCCATGCATCTGTCTACCCACTTCTCATCTGTATTGGCCTCCTGTGCTACAGAGACCACTCCAGGCCTCAGGCCCTGCCCCAAGAGGCTCAGACGGCCCCAACAGTGTCAGGGCTAAAAGACCTCACACGAGAGCAGGTCCAACTCCCTGATGTGGCTGGATGTAGCATGTACGCAGGCTGGAAAGGCCAGGTTTGCACCCTAGGAAGGCAGAGACATTGCCTTTGGCATCACATCTTTGCTGCTGGCCCCACCTGGCACAGCAAAAAGCACACGTTCAGCTGCACGTTGCTGTGATCTCTGACACCTCCCTCCCTCTGAGGATTCTTCTTCTATGATTTCCTGATCTCCAGGAGCATCCAGAACCCAAGAGGGCCCCAGTCAGATGCAACTTGGACAGCCTGAGGTCTACCAACCTGGGGAGGGGTGGCCTCTGTCTTTGTGGGTGTTATAGTGTATTTAGGGTACCGTGTTTTGGCCATAAACCTCTGCGGCTGGTGGCATCTTTGCCCAAATTCTTGTCCTGTGTCCATGAAGAGTAAGATACACAGAGAAGTGGAGGGTGAGCAAAATGAAGATAAACTTTACTGAGTGTTAGGACAGCTCAGAGGAGGTCCCCAGGGGCAGCTCCTCTCTGTAGGCAGGTCCTCTCCTCCAGTGATCAGCTCTCAGCAAAGAGGTGGCCCTGGAGTGTGTGGCGCCTCTCTGCAGCCAGTCATCCAGTCATCTCAGTCCTCTGCCCTGCTCTGGCTAAGCTTTGAGCTTGTATGGACCTCAGAGGTGAGGAAATGCTTGCTGATTGGTCCATAGGGTATGGGCCTGCAGGAAGAGGCACCACAAGTCCTCACTCCAGTCCCCACCTGGCCCCCAGCCTTCAGGCCCTCCCTGTCTTGCAGGTGGAGACTTATCGGGGACCCCCACACTTCCTGTCCATATCTGCCTCCCCACTGCTGCCCACAGCACCCAGGCCGCTGGCACCAAAGGGCACCCTCAGGCCAGTGTTGAGGTCCCCCAACCCCCATCTCAGCCTCCCTCCCACACTCATTGTCACCCAAAGTCTGGAGGGGCCAAGGTTGCAGGGGCCAGCATGTCAACGTTGCCCCTAGCCTGGGGCTCCAACAGGGCCTGGACTTGACCCCAGCCCCTCCCCAATATCTGAGTAAGCGCCATCCGGGAGGTCTGGGAAGCAGCTCAGACCTGGGTGGCTCCAGCTGTGCCTGGGGAACTCTAGCCCTGCCAACTGGGAGGGGAGGAGTTCCCACCTGTCTCTGGCACTGCAGAATGCACAGTGCCAGCCCGTGCACCTTCTCTGCATCTTCCCGCAGTGGCAGTGAGGGAGGTGCAGGTGGCATGGTGGACCTGGCCAATCCCGCACAAACCCGCCGCTCTCAGGGCCAGTCCTCAGAATGCCGACTGCTTCTTGGCGAGTGCTTGGGAGCCCCTGAAGCAAGGCAGGGAGTGAGGCCAAGACTGCAGCAGAAGCTCAGGGCCTGGGAGCGGATCCTTCCAGGTAGTGCGAGGGCGGAAGTGGTATAGTCAGCTGCCTTGGCAACATGGGGCCCACTGCTGCCATCGTGGTTCCCACAGCCGCCCCCGCTGCCCTCTCTGCCGCCTTACAGCCTGGAACAGTTCTCCAAGCCCTTGCTGGGCCGGGGTGGTGTCCAGAAAGGACGCGACATCCCTGCAAGTTCCCCGCTGTGGCCAGCGCTTTCCCAAGCCTGGCTGGCAACTCTGCCAGGTAGCGCCTCTGGGAACCAATTGTGGACCGGACCCGGCCAGCCGCCACACTCCGACATGGAGTGGATCCTGGGGATGCAGCCTCGGGTGGCCCCTCACTGAGCCTCCATCGTGGGCACAGAAAACTGACACCCGGCAGGGAGCCAGCAGCTGCCATTTCGCTGGCCGGTCCAGGAAGCGGGCGCCACTCCCACTTCCCACCCCAGGCCGCTGAAGCTCAGTCACCACTTCGCCTTTGCATTTGGGGTGCGGACCCCACGCTCCTAGCACAATCAAGGCACTGTCCTGGGCCCAGCTCCTCACTGGGGCCCCTCTGTGGAGGACCTTGCAGTTCCCCTTCCAGTGGTTAAATGAGCCCGGCCAGGCCACACAGTAATGGCTCCCAGGGCGGCAGGCCCCGGGACTGTTTGCCTCAGCGCCTTCGCCCTCACCTTGCTGCAGCTGGTGCCATGGCAGCTGCCGCTTTGGACAAGCCGCCACTGCCATTATGGGTGCTGGCAAGTCTCACTCCAAAGGAAGCAGGGACCAGGACCTGTGACTGCCCAGGCCTGCTTTGTGGAGTCCATGGGAAATCCTGTGCCTCCCAGAAAAGGGCACGGGCACCCTCCCTCCAGTACTTGAGTCAACTCCAGCGGCTGGTGGCACAGTTCTGGAGTCTGGCGCCTGGGCTAGTAGCTGGCCCTTCTCTTGGGGCAGCTGTGTATCCAGAGACTTCCATCTCCTCTTCTGCAAAATGAGGCAACACAGCACCCAGCTCTTAGATCCCTGGCAATGAATGAGAGTCCTCGATTGCCAAGCGTGTCCCTGAGTGCATAGAGACCCCGGGAAGGAACGTGAGACGACAGGAAAGGCAGCAGGAGGGAGCAGCGGTCTGTGCAGCCATCCGCCTTTTGTGGAATCAGAGACAGCACAGGCACAAGAAGCCAGGCCTGCAGCCTCCCACCCACCCGACCAGAACCATGCACCCAGGGCCACTTCTGGAGCATTTCTCTGGTCTGAGACAGAAAAGCAGTAGCTTTTGAAGTTCTGTCCAAGCTCTGGGGCCTGCAGCCTGACTGTGTTGAGGCATAGGCCCTACCCCTCCCAGCTCCCTCCCAGCACACCCCTCCCAATGCTCCCCTCCCAGCACATCCTCTCCTAGCACATCTCCTCCTAGACCCTCCTAATAAACGCCACCCAGCACACCACCTCCCAACTCACCCCATCCAGCACACCCCTCCCAACACACCCCACCTAGCCCTCTCCCTTTACTGCCCCTCCCAGTGCACTCTTGCTGATTCAGGGCCCTGAGATCAGGGCTTCTCCTGGCTTTCCTTGAGGAAGCATCACCAGAGTCAGAGGAAGAGGTGCAGTTGGCATGATGCCCCGGCCAATCCCGCATGAACATGCCCCTTCCAGGGCCTGTCCTGTGAATGCCGGCTGTGCCTTGTCCCAGGAATGTAGAGTGTGGGAGTGTGCATGGTCATGTACAAGTGTGTGTGCAAGTGTGGGAGTGTGTGAGGGCATGTGCAGGTGCACGGTGTGCGTGCGTATGTGTGGCAGCCTGCACAGACATGCGTGGGTATACGGGAGTGTATACAGGTGTGCTAGTGTGCAGGGGCATGCACGGGCATGTAGAAGTGTGAGAGGGCATGTGAGAGCATGTGCAGGCATGTGCGGGTGTGAGAGGGTGTGCGCCCAAGTGTGGTGGTGTGCATAAGTGTGTAGTAGTGTCCTTCGGCATGCAGGAGTGTGTGTGGAGGTGCGGGAGTGTGCATGGCGGTGCACACAAACGTGGGAGTGTGAGAGAGCATGCATGGATGTGCAAGGATGTGTGCAGGTATGCAAGACAATGCAAGATTGTGTGGGTGTGAGCAAATTCAGGGGTGTGCAGGTGTGTCCACAGGTGTGGGGGTGTGCACAATCATGTATGAGTGCAGGGGAGTGCACGGTTGTGCGAGTGTGCACAGGCACGTGTGTGGGTGTAAGAGAGTGTGCCCACGTGTGATGGTGTGCATGTGTGTCATAGTGTCTGCAGGCATGCAGGAGTGTGTGCCGGCATGTGTGCGAGTATGGGAGTGTGTGCAGGTGTGTGAGGGCATGTCGGGTGTCCACGGGCATGAGAGTGTGTGTGCCTATATTTGGCAGTGTGCACAGGTGTATGCAGGTGTGTGGGAGTCTGCCTGGGCATGATAGTGTGTGCACAAGAGAGTGTGTGGGAGTGTGGCAGGTGGCATGCTGGCCCAGGTCAATCTCGAAGGAACCCACTGGTCCCAGGGCCAGTCCTACCAATGCAGGCTGCACCTTGAAGGGGTGCTGGAGACCTCTGAGACAGCACAGGGAGCGAGGCCTAGGCTGCAGCAAAGTCTCAGGAGCGGGGATCCTGTCCTGCCAGGCAGTGTGAGGGTGGAGGTGATACAGTTGGCTGCCTTGGGGACATGGGGACAAGGAGCCGACTGCCGCCATCACTGCTCCCACAGCCACCCCCGCTGCCCTCTCTGACGCCTTGCAGCCTGGGGCAGAGCTCCAATCCCTTGCTGGGCCAGGGTGGTGTCTGGAAAGGGGGTACATCGATCCAAGTTCCCCGCTGCACCCGGCGCTCCCCCTCACCTGGCTGATGACCCTGCCAGGTAGTGCCTCTGGGAATGGATTATCGCCTGGACCCAGCTGTGGCTGATGCAGGGTGGATCCTGGGGACACAGCCTCAGGCCCCTCGCCGAGCCTCTGGTCTGGGCGCAGTAACCTGGCCTCACAGCGGGGAGGGCGCAGCAGCCGCAGTTGGCCAGGTATGGGAAGCAGGTGCCACTCCCACTTGCCAACCAAGGACACTGAAGTTTGACCACCGCTCCGCTTTTGCGTTTGGGGCCAGGACCCCGCCCTCTGAGTACAATCGTAGCACTGTCCTGGAACCAGCTCCGAACTGGGGCCCCTCCATGGCGGACCTTGCAGTTCCCCCGTTAGCGGGTGGTTGGGCCCGGCCAGGCCCCACACAGTAGTGGCTCTCAGGGCGGCAGGCCCCGGGACTGTTTGCCTCAGCGTCTGCGCCAGAGGACCCACAGCCCTCGCTGCCCTGCACTGCAGCAGGCGCCACAGCAGCTGCCGCTTTGGACAACCCGCCACCTGCCATCATGGATGCTGGCAAGTCTCACTCCAAAGGAATCACTGACAGACCAGGAAGTGTCACTTCCCAGGCCTGCTTTGTGGAGTCCACAGCCTGGGAAATCCTGTGGATCCCAGAAAAGGGCACGGGCCCCCTCTCTCCAGTCCTTGACTCAGCTCCAGAGAGCAGGCATGGCAGCACTGATGGCACAGCTCTGGAGTTCGTGGCCTGGGCTGGTAGCTGGTCCTGCTCCTGGGGCAGCTGTGTATCCAGGGGCTTCCATCTCCTCTTCTGCAAAACAGACAACACAGCACCCAGCTTGTAGATATCAGGAGAAGAATCAGGGTCCTTAATTGCCCCCAGCGTGTCCCTGAGTGCACAGAGACCCCGGGGAAGGAAGGAGGCAGGAGGAAGCAGTGGTCTGTGCAGCCATCTGCCTTTTGTGGAATCAGAGACAGCACAGGCAAAAGAAGTGAGGCCTGCAGCCTCCCACCCATGCAACCGGAACCATGGGGCCAGGGCCACGTCAGGAGCATTTCTCCGGACTGAGACAGAAAAGCAGCAGCTTCTGAAGCTTTCTCCAAGCTCTGGGGCCAGCAGCCTAACTGTGCTAACAGGAACAGGCCCTGCCCCCTCCCAGCCCCTTCCGAGCACACTCCTCCCAATGCACCCCTCCCAGGGCACCACCTCCCTGACCCCTCCTAAAGAACCCCCAGCACAGTGCCTCCCAACTCACCCCTTCAAGACCACCCCTCCCAGACCCCTTCCAACTCACTCCTCCTAACAAACCCCACCCAGCCCCCTCCTAGCACGTCCCAGCTCACCCCTCACAGCACACCTCTCTCAACATATCACTTCCCGCACACCCCACCCAGCCCCTTCCCAGCACACCCACCCAGCCACCTCCCAGCATGCCCCCTCCTAGTGCTCCCTTGCTGATTCAGGGCCCTGAGACCAGGGCTTCTCCTGGCTTTCCTGGAGGAAGTGTCACTGCTCACTGGGCTCCTCTCACAGGTTCCAATCTGTGGAATGAAAGAATTAACCAAGACCACTCAGTCACCCCAAGTGGACTACTGGGGAGAAGGGAAGCTTCTCTCTTTAGGAATTACCAGGTGTAACTCCCAGCCTATCACCATCCAATTTGTCAGGGGTTGGGGACAAGCCTCTTCTGGGGATGAGGAGAAGTGGCCTAGGAAACAGGAGTGACAAGGAAGGAGAGGCTGTCAGGCCAGAGAGGGGACCCCACCTGCAGGGCAGGGAAACGTGGGCAGGTACTCTGGACCAGGACCCCTGGGAGATTTGTTGCCTCTGGTCTCCAGGCGTCTGCACCCCCAGAGGGACAGGGACACACCAGGGCTCCAGAACACTGTCCCGTGAGGGTAAGAAACCAGCCATGTCCTTGTTCAGAGACACTTGAGAGAGCTGCAGGTATTTACCCCAGCAAGTAGAGGGCGAGGATTCAGGCTACATGCAGATAACTTCAGGCCCATCACGTGCAAAAGAGAGGCTTATTCTGGAAGGTGACAGGGGCCTTATGGGAATGGAGGGACTGTCCACCCAGAAACAATTCCCAAGGATGTGAGCAAGGGAGACAGAGAGAGGGAGAGCAGGTTGGTGGGTGACATCGTGATCCACCCGCCTCGGCCTCCCAAAGTGCTGGGATTACAGGTGTGAGCCACCGTGCCCGGCCAAATTCTTTTTTTAATTAAAACGTTCTAGTATCTAAAATGAGCAAAATTGCCAGGTGCAGTGAATCACGCCCGTAATCCCAGTACTTTGGGATGCCGAGGTGGGTGGATCATCTGAGGTCAGGAGTTTGAGAGCAGCCTGCTGTGAGCCAAGATTGCACCACTGTACTCCAGCGTAGGAAACACTCAGACTCCATATCAAAAAATAAAATAAAATAAAGATAAAAATGTGTTTGAAAAGAACAGCAATAGCCAGGCACAGAGGCTCACCCCTGTAATCCCAGCACTTTGGGAGGCTGAGGGTGGATGACAGCTGAGACTAGAAGTTTGAGACCAGCCTGGCAACATGGTGAAACTCTGTTTCTATACAAAATACAAAAATTAGCCAAGCTTGGTAGCATGCACCTGTAATCCCAGCTACTTGGGGGGCCGAAGGGGAAGGATTGCTTGTACCTGCCCAGGAAGTTGAGGCTTCAGTGATCCACGACTGTGCCACCTCACTCCAGCCTGGGCAACAGAGCAAAACCCTGTCTCCAAAAGCAAACAAAGAACAGCATCATTTCCTTATTACTGTTCACTGCAACCTCATCCTCCCAGGTTCAAGCAATTCTCCTGCCTCAGCCTCCCAAGTAGCTGAAATTACAGGCACCTGCCACTACACCCGGCTGAGTTTTAATATAGATGGGGTTTCACCATGCTGGCTAGGATGGTCTTGAACTTGTGGCTTCGTGATCCACCCACCTTAGCCTATCAAAGTGCCAGGATCACGGATGTGAGCAACAGTACCTGGCCAATCCCTTATGTTTTTATTAAGATGTTTGCTTTGTTTCCTAGCTTCCAGGTACACATCTACAAAGTTGCAAAGGCTTTACGGCTATTGCAACAGCCATCAAAGGTCAAGCTGGGGGGACATCAAAGGTGCAGCTGCCTAATGGGAGGCAGCCTCAGAGGGTGCTGACCCTGCCCAGGATGACCAGTGGTGAAGGATGCTCCTGGGGTCCCTAGCTGGGAAAGGTATTGGGGGTCGCACGTACCCAGGCTGAGATAAGGAGAATAGGTGGCTGGGGGAGCAGTGGCGCTGGGAGCCCTTCACTGGCCATTGAGGAGCTTCTTCTGCGCGATCTTGCGCTCGGCCCAACGAGGTGCCGGGAGGTTGGTGTGCAGCACCTGCTCACTGTGTCGGATCCCTGTGGCTCCTGGCCCGGCAGACTGGGAAATCTTAAAACTCCTCCTTGGAGCTTATATGTGACTGCAGCCAGGTGGGAGCCTGTCGACGCGAAAGTGCCGGCTGTGCAGCGGCTTCCGTCATCAGCCCACGCATGCGCGCTCCTGGAACGGCCTATGAAAACGTCACGGCGGTGCGCCTCCGATGACGTCACGGCGGCGCGCCTCCGTCGACGTGTCTCCGTCGACGTCAGGGCGGCGCGCCTCCGTCGACGTGCCTCTGTCGACGTCACGGCGGCGCGCCTCCGTCGACGTCCCTCCGTCGACGTCACAGCGGCGCGTCTCCGTCGACGTGAAGGCGGCCCGTCTCCGGCGCCGTCACAGAGGCGAACCTTCGGCGACTTCACGCGGAGGTATGTTGCCTAGGGGCTGGGTTGTCTTCTCCGCAGAGCAGAGCCTGGTAACCTCCACCTCCGGCTGCGTCCTGTGTGCTGCTGGCTGGAGAAGGGTAGGTAGCAAACTCCGACCTGGCACAGTGTTTATGTGGGTCAAAAATAGAAAAAGTGGGGCCGGGTGCGGTGGCTCACGCCTGTAATCTCAGCACTTTGGGAGGCCTAGGCGGGTGGATCATGAAGTCAAGAGATGGAGACCATCCTGGTCAGCATGGTGAAACCCCGTCTCTACTAAAAATACAAAAATTAGTTGGGCATGGTGGTGCGTGCCTGTAGTCCCAGCTACTCGGGAGGCTGAGGCAGGAGAATTGCTTGAACCCGGGAGGCGGAGGTTGCGTTGAGCCGAGATCGTGCCATTGTACTGCAGTTTGGGTAGCAACAGCAAAACTCCATCTCAAAAAAAAAAAAAGAAAAGAAAAAGTGTGTCTGGACGCTGGGGAGGTGGGAAGTTTTCTTCAGGTCAGGAGTTCAAGAGCAGCCAGGAAAAGTGGTGTGACCCCATTTCTGTAGTCCCACTTCAGCCTCCCAGCTACTTGAACCCCAAGGTTCAAGGCTGCAATTAGCTATGATTCTTCCGTAGTACTCCAGCCTGCGAGACTGAGGTAAATCCTGTCTAAAAAAATAAAAAAGAAAACTATCCAAGCGTGTGATATTGGGGGACTGCTTAGAGAAAAATTGGGGCTGCCTGGGCCCTGTATGCCCAGTACTTTGGGAGGCCGAGGTGGGAGGATGGCTTGGAATCAGGAGTGTGAGAACAGCCTGAGCAACATGACAAAACCCTGTCTCTACAAAAGATACAGAAATTAGCCAGGCAAAGTCCATGCCTGACCTAATATTTTGTATTTTTTCTGTAGAGATGGGGGGGAGTCTTGCCCCTATGTTGCCCAGGCTGGTCTCAAACTCCCGAGTACAAGCCATCTTCTCACCTTACCCTTCAGGGTTGTTGGGATTAAAGGCGTGAGCCACGGCGCCCCACTTGGGTTAGGCTATTTAATAACAAAGTCCGTGACTCGGCTTGGTGGCTCACACCTGTAATTCCAGCACTTTGGGAGGCCAAGGCAGGCGGATCACCTGAGGTCAGGAGTTTGAGACCAGTGTAGCCAACGTGATGAAACCTGGTTTCTACAAAAATTAACCTCATGTGGTGGCACATGCCTGTAGTCCCAGCTGCTCCAGAGGCTGAGACAGGAGAATTGCTTGAACCCAGGAGGCAGAGGTTGCAGTTAGTCGAGATCACATCACAGAACCCTAGCCTGGGTGACAGAGTGAGACTCCAGAGTTTGAGACAAGTCTGGGCATTGTAGTGAACCCCTGACTCTACAAAACAAACAAATAAAAAAGGCAGGTGTGGCCGGGCACGGTGGCTCAAGCCTGTAATCCCAGCACTTTGGGAAGCCGAGGCGGGTGGATCACGAGGTCAAGAGATCGAGACCATCCTGGTCAACATGGTGAAACCCCGTCTCTACTAAGAATAGAAAAAATTAGCTGGGCATGGTGGCGCACGCCTGTAATCCCAGCTACTGGGGAGGCTGAGGCAGGAGAATTGCCTGAATCCAGGAGGCACAGGTTGTGGTGAGCCGAGATCGCGCCATTGCACTCCAGCCTGGGTAATAGCAGCGAAACTCCGTCTCAAAAGAAAAAAAAAAGGCGAGTGTAACTGTCCACCTGTGGCCCCAGCCACTTAGGATGCTGAGGCAGGAGGATCACCTGAGGCCAGGAGTAGGTCTGCAGTGAGTTAGGATCATCCCACTGCTCTCCATCCTGAGCAAAAGAATGAGACCATGTCTCTAGATAGCTAGCTAGATCATTGATACCTAGTTTTCTATCAGAATTTTTTCCTACATTTGAGCATATTTTTCTAAAGTAGCATTCAACATATCAGCGTTATACAGTGTTATTAGTAGTTCATGTGATTATGTTTTTCTGAAATACAGTATCCTTTACAAAAGCAGTTTTGTCTGCCAAAGCACACAGATAGGTCCTCAAGTGAATTTGCCTGATGTTGGTGACCTTTGTACCCTTTTCTCCTGTTGATTGGAACAGTCAGTAAGTTCAGATCACTGTTACCCTCGGAGGAAGAGCCCAAAGGCAACAAGTAAGGGCACTAGTGTCCAGGCCTTTCTAGAAGCATTTTCACCTTCCCTTAAGGTTTCCCTTGATGAACATGGAAGGAGTGTATGTAGAATTGACTGTTCCAGCATCTTTGTATATTAGGCCAAATTTATATGTCTTCCGTTTGTGAGAGGCACCCTGGTAGGCTAGGGGATTTATACATGAAGTCTGATCTCAGCTTCACTGTCCAGAGATGCAACATGGTCCAATCAAATAACATTCTCTGAGCCTGTTTCTCTTTTACTTACTTACTTACTTACTTACTTTATTTATTTATTTGAGACGGGATCTTGCTCTTTTGCAGTGGTGTCATCTTGGATCACTGCAACCTCCACCTCTCGGGTTCAAGCGATTCTCCTGCCTCAGCCTCCTGTGTAGCTTGGACTACAGGTACATGCCACCACATCCAGCTAATTTTTGTATTTTTGAAGAGATGGGGTTTCACCATTTTGTCAAGGATTGTCTCGATCTCTTGACCTCATGATCCACCTGCATTAGCTTCCCAGAATGCTGTGATTACAGGTGTGAGCCACCACACTTGTCCTGAGCTCATTTTTTAGCTGTAAAATGAGAATAACAATTACACTAATCTAAAAAGACAGCCTATTTTATTGTCTTTCATTTTCTATGAAACTGTCTTTAACACGGTAATTATTTTCTTTGCCATCCACGTTTGTTTTTGTTTTGTCTTTGTTTTTCTTTTAGATGGAGTCTCTTTTTTGTTTTGTTTTGTTTTTGTTTTTTTGAGATGGGGTCTCGCTGTCGTAGCCCAGGCTGGAGTGCAGTGGCATGATCGTGACTCATCCTGTATCATACCCACAGAGAAACCCTTTTTTCTCTCCAGGGCCTGGGGAGCAGCCTGGTTCCATGAGTTAAATGCAGATATGAACCGTACCGAGCTGGAATTAAAGTACACACTCTCCTGTTCTGAAAAGTAGCTAAGGATTCCAACTTGGTGTGGTGGAGAGTGTGGCAGAGCCAGACCAGACCAGGACTGATCTCCTGGAAAAGCATGCCATCAAAGGCCTTGGTGAGTGCTGAGTGCCATGGCTCACACCTGTAATCCCAGCACTTTGGGAAGCTGAGACAGGTGGTTCACTTGAGGCCAGGAGTTTGAGTAGAGCCTGGGCAACATGGCAAAACCCTGTCTCTACTACAAACACAAAAATTAGTCGGTGTGGTGGCCCTTGCCTCTAATCCCAGCTACTCAGGAGGCTGAGACAGGAGAATGGCTTGATCCAGGCAGGCAGAGGTTGCAGTGAGCCAAGATCACACCACTGCATTCTAGCTTAGGCAACAGAGTGAGACTCCATCTCCAAAAAAAAAAAACCCATGAAGAAGGAATGTCTACTTCTGGGGGTTGGGTTGGGGACTGCTGACAGAACTGCAAACTTTCTTCAGGTGGGGTTGTTTGTTTTGTGATGGAGTCTGGCTCTCTCACCCAGGCTGGAGTGCAGTGGCACAATCTTGGCTCACTACAGCCTCCGCCTCCCCCTCTTCAGGTTCAAACAGTTCCCATGTCTTAGCCTCCTAAGGAGCTGAGATTACAGGCCTGTGCCACCACACCAGCTAGTTTTTTTTGCAGAGACAGGGTTTCACCATGCTGACCAGGCTGGTCTTGAGCTTCTGACCTCAAGTGTCTGCCCACTTTGACCTCCCAAAATGCTGGGATTATAGGCATGAACCACTGCACCCAGCCCCTTCAGGTGAGTTTTAAGGCTTCACGACAATAGTAGTTTCCTGTTTCTGCTGCAACAAATTACCACACACTTAGGGCTTAAAACAACATAGATGTAGCTGGGCATGGTGGCTCACGCTTGTAATCCAGCACTTTGGGAGGCTGAGGCAGGCGGATCACTTGAGGTCAGGAGTTTGAGACCAGCCTGACCAACATGGAGAAACTCCATCTCTACTAAAAATACAAAAATAGCCGGGCATGGTAGTGCATGCCTGTAATCCCAGCTACTCAGGAGGCTGAGGCAGGAGAATTGCTTCAACCTGGAAGGCGGAGGTTGCAGTGAGTCGAGATCGTGCCATCGCACTCCAGCTTGGGTAAAAAGAGCGGAACTCTGTCTCAAAAAAAAAAAAAAAAAAAGCAACACAGATGTATTTTCTCTTATAGTTCTAAAGACCAGAATTCTAAAGTCAGTTCCACTGACTCAAGGTGGGAGCAGGGCAGGTACCTTCCGAGGCTCTGTAGGAGAATGAGTTTCCTGGCCCTGGAGATGTCCTGCACTCCTCAGCTTGTGCTGCCCTTCTTGAATGACTCGAGGTTCCTGCTTCCATCACTACGCTTCCCATCACTCTCCATCACCTGCTCTGCTCTGATAAGGATCTGGGTGAGTACATCAACCCCACTGTGACAAGCCAGAATAATCTTCCTGGCCAAAAATTCTTAACCTCATTATAACTGCAAAGTCCCTTTTACCATATGAGGTCGTGTTCACTGGTTCCTGGGATTAGCTTATGAACATCTTGGGGGGTCACTATCAGCCTACTGCAGGTATGCTGCAAAACCATTACACCTTCCTGGTATTTCAGTGATTGGGAGAAAAAGGGTTGGGATTTTTGCTTTGGGGTTCCTCTTAAACTTGTTTTTTATTGTTTTGTTTTGTTTTTTTCTTTTTTGATATGGAGTCTTGCTCTTTTGACCAGGCTGGCTGCAGTCTCCGTTCCTGCAACATTTGTCTCCTGGGTTCAAGTGATTCTTCTACCTCAACCTCCTGAGTAGCTGGGGCTACAGGTGCCTGCCACCATGTCTGGCTAAGTTTTGTATTTTTGGAGGAGTTGGGGACATGGAGGGGGTAGTGGAAGGTGAGGCAGGGGACAGAAGTTTCTGCTATGTTGCCCTCTGCTCAAAGCGATCCACTTACCTCTCCTCCCTAAGTGCTAGGATTACAGGCCTGCAGCACCTCACTGGCTGCTGTAAAGTCTTATTTCCACACAACTGAGACATGTTTTAGGAAGTTTGCTAAAAGACCCCTGGAGACATTCTCATTGTGGCCTCCTTGTTGTCTTATTTAATTTGATTGATCTTTTCTGCTCTCCTCCTTTTCAGAAATTAAAAGGATAAAAAGAGGTACTAAACTTGAAAACTTTTCTTACAGTCTCCAATTAAACTAATTATAAGAACCACCAAAAAAGGGAAACACTTTTTCAAAACCAATAAAATGATATGGACTGTTGAGATGTAAAATACAGGAAATAAGTCATTGTATGTTAATGTTGCTCTGACATAGGGACATAGTATTGACAATCAACCTTTGCTCAATTTTCAAAGAAATGGAATGATCGTGTCGCTGATCTGTGTAAACACATGGAAGAATTATCTGAAAGAAAATATGGTATGTCTAAACTCTAAAAGTCCTGTAATACTTTGTTCACGAGTGTTTACACAATGGGGTCACTGTTCATCTTGTAGAGTCTGTCTAACTATTAGAAACAGTTTTTGTTTCTAGATTACTGCAAAGCTAAGGAAAAGTTGTATCTCTGAAATTATCAGTTAGCATTTCTTTTAAGCTTTCAGCATGGATATTGGGGATTTATTTACATATTTATTGCAAATTCCTGGATCTTAGGGATTTAATTAATATTGTTTTTTTAAAAAAGCTAATTATTTCTCTTTATCTGCTTTGTTAAATTCGGTATTTTGTCGGACATGGTGGCTCATGCCTGTAATCCCAGCACTTTGGGAGACCAAGGCGGGCAGATCATGAGGTCAGCTTGGCCAAGTCTCTTATCCTGTCTGAGCCTTAGTATGCTCTTTTGTGGTCATGAGAACTGAAGATCTATCTCGAAGATTTGATGAGATATTATAGTATGTCACATAATACCGGGTATATACATACAAAATAAATGTGTATTCCTTATGCTTTTATTTACTTATTTATTTATTTTTTGAGACAGAATCTTGCTCTGTTGCACAGACTGGAGTGCAGTGGCATGAGATCTTGGCTCACTGCAACCTCTGCCTCACGGTTTCAAGCAATTCTTCTGCCTCAGCCTCCCAAGTAGCGGGGCTTATAGGCATGCATCACCACGCTCAGCTAACTTGTGTATTTTTAGTAGAGATAGGGTTTCACCATGTTGGCCAGACTGGTCTTGAACTCCTGACCTCAAGTGATGCAGCCAGCTTGGCCTCCCAAAGTGCTGGAATTTCAGGTGTGAGCCACTACACCCGGCCTATGTTTTTATGATATTGTTAATTTAGTACTATTCTGAGTAAAAATCATTCGCTATTAAAAGTTTTATGAATTCACTGTTTTATAAATTGCCTGACAATTTTTATAAATGTCAGTGCTTTTATAAGGTGACACTGATTATGTTGTGGGGCTTTTGTTGGGATGGTGGTTTATTAGATTATTTTGTTTAAAGACAACAATGTTCAGCTGTTGTGAAAGAATAAAAAGTGAAATTATAAAAACAGTCCTCACATTTTATAATTTTAAAGCAATATTAATGGTAATTGCCTTAGGGAAAGATGCTTTTTTTGTAATATGAAAGTATGGTATTCAAGTTTAGTGTACAGTAAAGGATATTAAATCTAAGCACTAATGTGCTACATAGTGCACTTGAAACATTAGTACAAATATCAGAGTTTAGCAGATAGACCTTAACACATAATGAGAGCAAATAAATGGAGCTGTTTTGATGGGAGACTGTTGGTTATCTTTGATTTTAATATTCTCCATGCTCTTGACTTTTCTTTTTTTCTTTTTGAAACAGTCTCGCTCTTTCACTCAGGCTGGAGTGCAGTGGTGTGATCTCAGCTGACCTAAACCTCCACTTCTCAGGTTGAATCGATCCTCTTTCCTCAGCCTCCCTAGTAGCTAGGACTACAGGCAAGTGCCACCATGCCCAGCTAATTTTTGTATTTTTAGTAGAGATGGGGTTTCACCATGTTGGCCAGGCTAGTCTTGAACTTCTGACCTGAGGTGATCCACCCACCTTGGCCTCCCACAGTGCTTGGGTTACAGGTGTGAGCCACTCCCACCTGGCTAGCTCTTGACTTTTTTTTTTTTTTTTTTGAGGTGGAGTTTTGTTCTTGTTGCCCAAGCTATAGGGCAATAGCTCAATCTCGAGTCACTGCAACCTCTGCTTCCCGGGTTCAAGCTATTCTTCTGCCTCAGCCTCCAGAGTAGCTGGAATTACAGGCATTTGCCACAGTTAATTTTATATTTTATTAGAGATGGGGTTTTTTCATGTTGGTCAGGCTAGTCTGGAACGGTCTACCTTAGGTGATTTGCCTGCCTCAGCTTCCCGAAATGTTGGGATTACAGGCGTGAGCCACCATGCCCAGCCCAGCTTTTGACCTTTTATAGCTGTTACATTAGTTGAATCTTGAGTAAATAAATGCTAGCTTAAAAGTTGTAGTTCGGGGAATCTTCTGTTTCTGTTACTAAAAAAATTGTTTTTTAAGTCCGATAAGGTTACACTAATGTTTATGTTTTGAAAACATTCCTTCTTCCATTTAGTACTGTATGTATTAAATAATATTAGCTGGTATGTTGTTCTCACTTTATAATGTGGTTCAGATTTCTGTAGGAAGTCTGGCTATATCTACATTGCCTTAAAGTAATGGGATCTACCTATCTTTTTTTTTCTTTTCTTTTTGAGCTGGAGTTTTGCTCTTGTCACCCATGCTAGGATGCAATGGGGTGATCTTAGCTCACTGCAACCTCTGCCTCCTGGGTTTAGGTGATTCTCCTATCTCAGCTTCCCAAGTAGCTAAGATTACAAGCACTCACCACTACAACTGGCTAATTTTTGTATTTTTCATAGAGATGCAGTTTTGCCATGTTGGCCAGCCTGGTTTCCAATTCCTGATCTCAGGCGATTCACCTGCCTTGGCCTCCCAAGTGCCAGGATTACAGGGGTGAGTCATCCTGCCTGGCTGTAGTGGGATATTTCACTGCAAACTTTGATAAACAGAATATTAGCATTTTTGGTGTTATTTTTTCTTTCCTCACACTATTTTTCTTTGGACTGAATTACAATAACAAGTAAAGATCAACTTATAAAAGTTAAAGAGCAGTGCCTGGCTCAGTGGGTCATGCCTGTAATCCCAGCACTTTGGGAGGCCAAGGCGGGTGGATCACGAGGTCAGGAGTTGGAGACCATCCTGGCAAACATGGTGAAATTCCTTCTCTACTAAAAGTTTAAAAATTAGCTGAGCATGGTGGCAGGCACATGTAGTCCCAGCTACTCAGGAGGCTTAGGCAGGAGAATCACTTGAACCCGGGACACGGAGGTTGCAGTGAGCTGAGATTGCACCGCTTCTCTCCAGCCTGGTGACAGAGTGAGACTCAATCTGAAAAATAAGAAGTTAAAGAGCAATACCGATTGTGTTTAAATGATCTTCCTTTTTCTTTTTGTCCATATAGCTCAAACAGTAAAAGCCAATGGTCTGTTGATGATCCTATACCCCTTTTCTCCAGTCTCATGTTGAAGATCTTTATGTAGAAGAACTTCCCAAAGGAATGTTTTTTCCTTTGTGAGACAGTTTTTACTCTTGTCGCCTCGGCTGCAGTGTAGTGGCATGATCTCGGCTCACTTCAACCTCTGCCTCCTGGGTTCAAGCAATTCTCCTGTGTCAGTCTCCATATGGGCCAGGCTGGCCTCGAAATCCTGACCTTGTGATACACCTTCCTTGGCTTTCCAAAGTGCTGGGATTACAGGCATGCGCCACTGTGCCCAGCCTATTTTGTGTTTTTTTATCTTCACCTTTTAAATTTATCTGAGTCCAACTTTGAGTCAGTCATGCCAGTGTTAGCTTTTGAAACATGAACACTGCCCACACCTGACGGGCATGCAGCTTACATTTTCTTTTACAATCTTGTGCTACTTTTGCTGAAGAAAATAGTATTTATGTCTTGCTTTTAGGCCTGAGATTTTTAAAGCGTTTGTGGGGATATATGATTGCCTTTGTAGATATGTAGAGGAAGATAGCCTTGAATGCAATGTGCTATTAAAGGATCCCATTTAAGATTTTTGTAGTATGCTTCAAAGAGCTGTGTGTTGCCAAGTTACCACTTTACTTGTGAGGACACATGCTCCATGAAGCAACTTATGAGACAATTTGCAATTGTTATTTTTTTGTTACTCTGTAGAAACTTGAAGTGAAGATTTAGTTGTGCTCAAGCATTCAGATTGTCTTTTCTTAATTTTTTTCTGAGAGGGAGTCTTGTTCTGTCACCCAGGCTCTAGTGCAGTGATGTGCTCTCAGCTCACTGCAACCTCCCCCTCTTGGGTGCAAGCAATTCTCCATCTCAGCCTCCTGAGTAGCTGTGATTCCAGGTGCCTGCCGCCACGCCCAGCTAAGTTTTGTATTTTTAGCAGAGATGGGGTTTTACCATGTTGGCCTGGTTGGTCTCAAACTTTTGACCTTGTGATCTGTCTGCCTCAGCTTTCCAAAGTATTGGGATTACAGGCAGGAGTTACCGTGGCCAGCCTATGTTTTCTTTTCAAGACGACCCTGGGTGATTAAATATTAAATGTGTACTAATGGATATTACTGTGCTAAATATTGCCTAGTGAATATTAAATATTCTCACCTTTCAGACATGAACTTACGCATTCAATAACTGAAGATTTACAGCTTGATAAACCAGCTTCAGCAGGTATGTCTTCAGTCTTAAGTCAGATGAGAAAATTATGTGCAATAATTATTTAATGATTAACATTGATTTCTTTAATGGTACCTTCCACATGAAATAATATGTCTCTAACTATTAATTATTTTCCAGGATAAGATAATTCATGTTGTCAAAATTCTGATACTCTAAAATAGTCAACTCATTTTCTTTGTATTAACCCATTATAAATACATGTAGGTACTGGATTAATGGGTAGACAGAAGTAAAATAACAATCTTTGTCCTGCTTTTGAGATGCAAGATTTATTTGGCATAGTGCATCGAACAGTTTATTGTTCAAGTCTACGCCAGTCAACTGAACTAGCATTCATCAAATGTTCATGATACCCAGAACATAAGAAGGTTTCCTTTTAGAGTATGGAGCCATGCTTATCGTATCTTAATCGTTAGATGTGTTTTCAAAGAAATAGGATTGATCTTCTCACTAGTATTTGGCTCTGGTGCGGTGTGGGGACAAAACAGAAAGGAATTAAACTGTTTAGATTTACTAAAATGGGAGGATTGCCAGCAAGATCATGTCCCTAGTTTCCTCATGGCAAATGTCACCTACTAGCTGTTTATTTATTGAGATGGAGTTTTTCTGGGTTGTCCATGCTGGAGTGCAGTGGCATGATCTCAGCTTGCTGTAGCCTCCCACCTTCTGGGTTCAAGCACATCTTCCTACTTCATGTTTCAAGTAGCTGGGATTACAGGCACCTGCCACCATGGCTGCCTAATTTTTGTATTTGTAGTAGAGATGGGGTTTCACCTTGTTGGCCAGGCTGGTCTTGAACTCCTGATCTCAGGTGATCTGCCCGCTTCGGCCTCCCAAAGTGCTGGGATTACAGGCATGAGCCACTGTGCCTGGCCTGGTAGCTGTTCTTGAGCATACCGAATTCTGCTTTTTTCCAGCTTTAACGAATGTCTGGTTCTTCCTTTTTTTTGTTCAATGCTAGCATTGTTTCAGTAATAAGTACATTCTGGAATCTTAGAAATAATTTTAGTCACAGAAAAGAAAAAAATACTGTCTATTTTATAATAATAATATTTAGGCGGGCGTGGTAGCTCATGTCTGTAATCAAGCACTTTGGAGGCCAAGGTGGGCAGATCACCTGAGGTCGGGCGTTCAAGACCAGCCTGACTAACATGGTGAAACCCCGTCTTAAAATAATAATAATATATAATAATCCAAGTTAGTAAACCCATTACATTGAGAAAACTTGTATTTTTGTGATTTCAACAGTAAAGGAAGAATAGTGTGCCAGAATCACCAAATTAAGAAAGACAGTGGATCAGCTTTTCTGCAAAAATTTTGGTAAGTCTTTTTTTCCTCCTTTAAAGTATATTACTGAGTAAACTCTTTTGTTTTGTTTTGTTTATATGGAGTCTTGCTCTGTCACCCAGGCTGGAGTCCAGTGGCTCTCTGCAACCTCCGCCTCCCGGATTCAAGTAATTTTCTTGCCTCACTCTCCTGAGTAGCTGAGATTATAGGCGCACACCACCATGTATAGCTAATTTTTGTATTTTTTTAGTAGAGATGGATTTCACCATGTTGGCCAGGCTTGTCTTGAACTCCTCATTCTGTGATTCCCACGTTTTGGCCTCCCAAAGTCCCAAAGTGCTGGCATTACAGATGTGAGCCACCACACCCAGTGGTAATGTTTTATATAATGTTTTATCTTAGGAAAGTAAGTACAATGATTAGGACTCAGCTCCAGTTTTCTATTTCTGGTTGTTTTTTTTTTTTTTTTCGGTGATGGAGTCTCAGCGTTGTTGCTCAGGCTGGAGTGCAGAGTGGCACTGTCTTGGCTCACTGCAACCTTCACCTCCCAGGTTCAAGCGATTGTCTTGCCTCAGCCTTTGAAATAGCTGGGATTTTAGGCACCGGCCACCATGCCTGGCTAATATTTGTATTTTTAGTAGAGATGGGGTTTCATCATTTTGGCCAGGCTAGCCTAAAACTCCTGACCTGAGTTGATTTTCCCTCCTCCCAACATGTTGGGATTACAGGCATGAGCCACTACACCTGGACTCTCTTACTTTTTTTTTTTTTTTTTTTTTTTTAATTTAGACGGAGTCTCATTCTGTGACCCAGGCTGGAGTGCAATGGCGGGATCTCAGTTCACTGCAACCTCTGCCTCCCAGTTTCAAGTGATTCTCCTGCCTCAGCCTCCCGACTAGCTGAGATTATAGGCTAATTTTACATTTTCAGTAGAGACAGGGCTTTGCCTTGTTGGTCAGGCTGGTCTCAAACTCCTGACCTCAGGTGGTTCAGCTGCCTCAGCGTCCCAAATTGCTGGGATTACAGATGTGATCCACCATGCCTGGCCATCCTACAGTTTTTAATATGCATGGATTATGGAAATTTTAATCCTACGTAAGAGGAGAGAGTCGGGTAATGGAAGTACAGATGCTTTTTACTGAGTAGATTTTTCTGTACAGTCCAAGGTTTTCTGCAGGAGGATTGACACCATTGGGAAGCCTCTTTTCTTTGGGCTTTACCTGTGCCTGGGTGCCACTCTGTACTAACAGAGAGAGCTTTGGCAGTAGCCACCACCTGGGCATTTGAAGGTGAAACCTCAGCCAACCTGTCTTTTCTATCTTGTTCCTTAAATACTTCATCAGCACTTCAAAACACTTAGTTTTAATTTTTCGTTCAACATCTTTTGGCACCAAAGTTGCTCTCTGCCCCATTTTTATTCTGCTTCTCAGCAGAATTCTAGGTTATTGTTCTCTGCCCCCCCCCCATTTTTTATAAAAATGTTCAAATCTTGTGGACTCTTCCTTGGCTCCTCTCTGTCTCATTTTCAGTCTCTTGAGGCCCCTGCCCTCATCCTCTCTACACTGGAGAGTGCCAGCCAGCAGCTTCATCCTTAGCCCTCTTTCTTCCTTCTTTCTTTCTTTCTTTCTTTCTTCTTTTTTTCTTTCTTTCTCTCTTTCTCTCTTTCTTTCTCTCTTTCTTTCTTCTTTCTTTCTTTTTTTTTGAGATAGAATCTTCCTCTTGTCACCCAGGCTGGAGTGCAGTGGCACAGTCTTGGCTCACTGCAACCTCTGCCTCCCTGGTTCAAGTGATTCTCTGCCTCAGCCTCCTGAGTAGCTGGGATTACAGATGTCCGCCACTATGCCTGGCTAATTTTTCTATTTTTTTAGTAGAGATGGGGTTTCACCATGTTGGCCAGGCTGGTCTCGAACTCCTGACCTCGTGATCCGCCTGCCTTGGCCTCCCAAAGTGCTCAGATTACAGGCATGAGCCACTTTGCCCAGCCTCTTTCTCTTTTCTTACTGTGTCTTCCTTACAAATAATCCCACCCTGCCCACCTCTTACAAATATTATATTGTCTGTGTCTTTGAGACTCTCATTCCTGGTCCTGAAGATGCTCCTCACACCAGACCTCTATATTTACCTATCTGCTTGACCCCTCCTCAGGCTTCATGTGTCCCAGGCAAAGTCCCCATTTCCCTCTCTATGAGCTCCTCTCAGGGTCTAACAGCTGCCCAAGCCAGATGCCCAGGAGTTACCCTGAGGTATGATTGTCTCCCTTCCCATATCCAGCCCAGCAAGGCCTGCTGACCCTGCCTGAATACAAAGCCCAGGTTCTACCCCATCCTCCTTCCCTGCCCTCCAGTGCTCAGTTAGAGCCATGCCACAGAGCAGCCTGGTCAGGCTCATTGAAAGTAGGAGGTGGAGCCTGTCATTCTCTGGACTGTCATGTGCAGTGGCTTCCACTGTACTTGGAGTAAACCTCACAGCCCCTGATTGGGTCTGTGCAGGGGCATGGGTGAGCTGCCCTCTGCCATTCCTCTGCTTTTCCCACATGCCCTCTGTGGATTATGTGCTCTGTGCCAGCCACTCTGGTCATTTGGGTGCCTTTCTTCTTCTCGGGTCACAGCTTCCTGGCACTGTTGCACTGAGGGCTGGTGTTTGGGGAATGCTGTTAGTTGAGGGCTTTCTGTGCTTCTCCTTTGTGTTAGCATCACAGTTGAAACGTCACCATGTTGGAGAGGTCTTCACTGAGCACTGTCTCACCTCAGCCTCGAGGCTCACTGACTCATCCTCTTTTCACTTTTCACAGAGTGCTGCTGGCTGACTTTTTCCTCCTGCTTCAGCACAGGGGCTCTGACGCCCAGATCATGCCTATCTTGTTTACTTCTCAAGCAGGTTCTCATGTGATTCTCCTGCCTCAGCCGCCCAAGTAGCTGGGATCACAGGTGTGCACCACCACACCCAGCTAATTTTATTTTGTATTCGTAGTCGAGATGGGAGTTCCACCGTGTTGGTTAGGCTGCTCTGAAACTCCTGACCTAAGGTGATCCACCCACCTTGGCCTCCCAGAGTGCTGGGATTACAGGTGTGAGCCACTGCGCCCGGCCAGGAACGGATTATTTTTATGCTTCCCCTTTTGAGACGTTGCCATGGCATTTGTAAACTGTCATGGTGTTGGTGGGAGTGTAGTAGCAGTGACGACGACCAGAGGCCTCTCTCGTCACCATCTTGGTTTTGGCTGGCCGCTTTACTGCAACCCATTTTATCAGCAAGGTCTTTATGAACTGTATCTTGTGCTGACCTCCTTCCTCAGCCTGTGACTTAGAATGCCTTAATTATCTGAGAATGCAACTCAGTAGGTCTCAGCCTCATTTTACCCAGCTCCTATTTTAGATGGAGTTGCTCTGATTCAAATGCCTCTAACAGTGTTGCTGTTTTCTTTATGGTCCCCGAAAGGGGAAAGGAAAGCTTAGGATTTTCATTGCTGTGAACCACTGCAAGTATTGAGGAAATAATCACTACTTCCAATCTCACAATCCTGAAGTCATTTGGTACGTGTGAGTCAGGTGTTGGAAACTGGGCAGTGTGGAAGACAGTGCCCTGTCCCATGCATTCTGGAGCATTTAGTCTGGTGGGGAAATGTGTAGTAAGTAGGAGATATTTACTGTGTAAGAAGGGGTTATGGTCTGGGAAAGAATTAAGTGGAATAAGGGGGATAATGAGGCAGAGGGTGTGATTGGGACAGCCTCGGTGATGCATGATGAGCACATTCTGCAGTTGGTCTCACCTCTTTCTAAAACTTCCAGTTTTCACTCTCAACCCCAACAAATGGTTCTTTTTTATTTGATAGAAAGTTTGCTAGAATTAGGTTTATATATTTTCTAGTTGAATTAACAGAATAATTTGATTTAACATCACTCTAGTATGACCGAAAGCCTCTAATCTTTTACTGTTATTTATGGGCATATTTCTTCTTGCAGCTATGATAATTATTTCACTTTGTGTGATTTCTCAAAAATGCATGTGTTTCTTATGTCAGAGAGCTACTACACTAGATCCCTTCAGATTTGATGCTAATAAGGTGAAGTAAGAATTTAAGACAAGTCTTTAGATGTTAGAGGAAAGCCAATCTAATAACAAAGAAATTAATTAATTAATCAATTAATTTCAAGTTGACATTCAAGTTGAGTTGTAGAGGTGGGGGAGGCAGTTTGGTAAATGAGGTCAGAAGTAAGGAGAGGGGTCTGGCAATAGATATCATTTTGGATTTTGTAGTAGTGTTTTGATAGCAGTTGTTGATAGCACCCAAATAATTTATCAGTGAACACCCTGACAGCTCCCTGATTTTTCTTTTTAAAGAAACAGGGTCGTGTTATGTTTTTTGGGCTGGGCTAGAACTCCTGGGCTCAAGTTATCCTCCTGTCTCAGTCTCCTAAGTAGTATCTAGGGCTACAGCCTTGTGCCACCATGCCCAGGTTTGAGTCACTCCCAGCCATCATGTTACAAAATATTTCAATGTTACATTCAGAGGTGCATGGGAGATCTGTATATAAATAGCACCACGTAAATTTCTTGAATGTTTCTCTTTAGAGTTCTGTTTGGATGTGGCTTCAGAGCAGGGATTAGTAAATTCATTTTTACTTTTTTTTTCTTAAGGCGGATTCTCAGTCTGTTGTTCAGGCTGGAGTGGAGTAGCTCACTGCAGTCTCTGCCTCCTGGGTTCAACTGATTCTCTTGCCTCAGCCTCCTGAGTAGCTGGGACTACAGGTGCCTGCCACCACACCCAGCATTTTGTTTTTGTTTTTGTTTTTTTGGTAGAGACAGGGTTTCACCATGTTGGGCCAGGCTGGTTTCAAACTCCTGACCCAAGTAATCCCCCTGCCTTGGCTTTTCAAAAAGTTGGGATTACAGGCATGGGTCATGGTGCCTGGCCATTTTTTTTCTTTTTTTACATTTTTAAATTACAGTTGTTATACCTATTCAGAAGTAGAGAAAATAGTACAGTGAACACTTAAATACCCATTCCTCAATTTCTGTGATCATTAAGATTGTCCTACATTTTGTTCTATTTTTTTTTCTCCCTTTGCAAGAATATTGTAAAGCAAATCACAGTCTTCACGTCATTTTACCTGTTCGGTGCACATCCCCAAACAGCCACTGTCTCCCCACATCTGACAAAATTAAGAGTGATTTTTTTGGTGTCAGCTCATTGTTTGCTTCATAGCTGGATCCAAACAATCCTCTTGTGCTGACTTTGGTTATTATGTCTCTTTTAATCTAAACCAGCTCTGCTTACTATTATTTCACATTCCATGAATTCTTTGTGGAAAGTTATTTCTTTTAAAATAGCATGCTTACAAGGTTGGAGGGGTAATGAATATTGATCTTGTGGTTGCAGTGCAGGTGAAAGTGTAGCCTGAAATGTGCCAGGGCGCAGCAGCAATGGAGGAGGGTTATTAAAGGTCACCAGCAGGGAGTAGCAAAAGGCTGCTTCCAAATAGTATTTACAGGCTGGGTACGATGGCTCATGCCTGTAATCCCAGCACTTTGGGAGGCCGAGATGGGCGAACCACCTGAGATCAGGAGTATGAGACCATCCTGCCCAAAATGGTGAAACCCGGTCTCTACTTAAAAATACAAAAATTAGCCAGGCATGATGGCAGGTGCCTATAATCTTAGCTACTTGGGAGGCTGAGGCAGGGGAATTGCTAGAACCTGGGAGGTGGAGGTTACAATGAGCTGAGATCATGCCACTGCACTCCAGCCTGGGTGACAGAGCAAGACTCCATCTCAGAAAAAAGTACTATTTAGGTTGTATTCTTTATTTTCTATAATAATATTTTTTCTCTCTCTTCCTAAGAATTTAAAAAAAGTTTTATCTTTGAGGATCTTTGAAGATCTCTTTTAAGACCAAAACTTTGAAGCACGTTTAAATGATTTGTATGTGGAAGGACTACTGGAAACCATTTTTTTCAGAAGTCCCTTGTGATATGGAATTCCAAGGCTGGAAAACATCTGCCAAGTGGGCAACTGAATTAAATTTTTATTGAAAGGTAAGATAATCTGCAGAAACAAATTAAGAAGAGATTAATTTGATGAAGATGGGCCTTTTGTTTACATCACATCATGACTTCCTTCTATTTACAATTAATATTTAGGTTCACTTATTGAACAAACATTTATTTAGTATAACCATGAGATGTGCAAAATTGGGTCTGACAAGAACCCTGTCATTGGGGGCTTAATACTAAGAAAAATACAACGAAAAGTTATTGAGCATTTTTGGGGAAGAAAGCAAGGATGGCACATCCAGTAACTGTCTCATGAAAGATTAGCGAGAAAGTAAAAGCAACGTATTATAAGTTCCATCAAAGAAGACCATTTAAGTTTTTGTTTTTGAGACAGTCTCACTCCGTCACCCAACCTGGAGTGCTGAACATTATCATCTTTAAACACAAAAATCAATCACCGTCACAACAAAAGCCCCACAACATACTCTGCTTCACTTACAAAAAGCAAAAAGAGAAAGGGAATCTGTTTCAAATATGAGTAAAGGCAGGGAGGTGTCAAATATGCTCACATATTCACATACCTCACCCATTCTGGGTGGAGTGAGGAGCACCACGTGGGTGTGGTGGGATTGCATAGACAGACTTGTGTGGCCAAGTGGAGGAAGGCCTTAGAGCCTACCAAAGCAGTGGCAGTCATTAAATGGTCTCATAGTGTTATGCCCTAGTGAGTTTAAACAGAAGCGCCATGCACTGAGTTAGCTGAGAGTCCACCTTTATGCTGGCATCTGAGAGTCAGCTAGAGCTCAAACCTCTCCGCCAAGAACAAAGGGAAATCAACATTTTTATACCAGTTTAGGGTCAGGAGGCGGTAAGCAGATTATTACAGAAGCAGAAGGAGCAGGTCAAGGGAAGGGGGGTTGCCTGACAAAAACTTCTACTTAAAATTGTTTTCTTACTCAGGATGTGGGGTAGCAGTGTCGGGTAGCAGTTACACGGTTACAGATACAGGATGTATGGGGCTGGTGGGCCCTGTTTCTCAGAAAATCGGTTAGAAAGATGCCAGGTGTCTCGGACTGCAAGCTTTCGGAACAGAATGCCCTACGTAACTCGGGGTGGGCAAACAGAGCTCGGGTGGGCAAAATGGAGTTGGCAGGATTGTTTAAAATGTATTCATTATAGCCAAGCTCAAGGGTATTTCAATAGCAGTTCCCTCTTAAAATAATTTGGATCTGCCCTTTAGAAAGGTTATTCTCCTTGATTTTGAAGGGTAACACATGGGTGGTTTGAGTGTGAGGGCTAGGAACAGAAGGCCTCTGTCTACTCATGGAAGGAATGTTGAAGTGGGTAGAGTCTTGCTTACTGATTGGGGTTGTGCATCTGTGTATATTCGTTGGGACTGAGTTAAAAGGGAAAGGAAAGTTTAAGATGATACAGCAAGCTGCTTCTTGCCGTGCTGTGGGACAGTTTAAGATTCAGAAACAGAATTGAGCTGGTTTGGGGGAAAAGTGACTTTTGCATATTTATCTTACAAAAAGGATAACTTTGGAGACATGCAGGTAGTCTCACCTGAATGTCTGAAAATTGCTATTTTCACCAAAATGATTTTTTTTAAACTATAAAATGAAGCAGAATTGACCATGTCTAAAAATTGGCAAGGCATGGTGGCTCATGCTTATAATCCCAGCATTTTGGGAGGCTGAGGTGGGTGGATCACCTGAAGTCAGGAGTTAGATACCAGCCTGGGCAACATGGCAAAACCCCATGTCTACTAAAAATACAAAAATTAGCTGGGTGTGGTGGTGCACACTTGTAGTCCCAGCTACTCAGGAGACTGAAGAGAGTTGCTTGACCCTGAGAGGCAGACGTTTCAGTGAGTTGAGGTAGTGCCACTGCACTCCAACCTGGGTGATAGAATAAGATTCCATCTTAATAATATAATGATAGTAATAATTAGTGCGCAGCTGTACAAGTAAGGCCTGAAGATTTCTTCTAAATACTCTATTATAACACCAATGTCAACTATGTTTTTACAGACCAGAACTTCTTACTCACAACACAACTGAAGTTACTCAGCCAAGAACAAATACAACAGGTAAAAAAGTTGTGAAATCCTTTTTAACAGCACAGAGTAATCTTTAAGCTTTTAAAAAGTAATCTTTTAAAATGATGGAACTGCTCCTTCCTTCACCTCTCCAAAAAATCTTTTGTAGAAGCTCAATACAGGCACTCCTTGATTTATCAATATATACATGTGCAGTGTAAGGATAAGTCAAGCTTTGTTTTTTTGTTTTTCCCTGGAGACAGACTCTTGCTCTGTCACCCAGGCTGGAGTGCAGTGGTACATTCTCAGCTCACTGCAACCTTCACCTCCAGGTTCAAGCGATTCTTCTGCCTCAGCCTCCTGAGTAGCTGGGATTACAGGTGTGTACTACCACACCCAACTAATTTTTTGATTTTTAGTAGAGACAGCATTTCACCGTGTTAGCCAGGCTGGTTTTGAACTCCTGACCTCAGGTGATCTGCCCTCCTCGGTCTTTTGAAGTGCTGGGATTACAGACATGAGCCACCATACCAGTCTATTTTTTTTATATTGTTAATTTAGTACTATTCTGAGTAAAAATAATTTGCTATTGCAGTTTTATAAATTAACTAACAATTTTATAAATATCAATGCTTTTTATAAGTGACACAGATTATGTCGTGGGGCTTTTGTTGTGACGGTGATTGATTAGATTATTGTGTTTAAAGACAATAATCTTCAGCACTCCAGGCTTGGCAATGGAGTGACTGTTTCAAAAACAAAAACTCAAATGATTTTCTGTGATGGAACTTGTAACACTTTGCTTTTACTTTCTCATTGATCTTTAAAATTACTAATAACTTTTTGGGACATGTAAAATCATGACAAATCCTATAAAAGTACTATGAAAGCAAGTCATGTAGTGTGCTCAGGGTCCAGAACCCGAGCCTGCCAGCTCCAGGCTGATTCACTTTTGCCAGCTGTATCCAGCCTAAGCCTGGCCCATGGCTGTGGAACCAGATTGACTCAAGTGCTGACTTTTAATGTCTTTCATTTGGTTTTTATTTTATTTAATTCAGTGTTTTTTACTGCTAGTTGACTTGTCTTTGGATTTTGTTCCTGCCTTAAGCAAATTCAGGACATGCGCATCTATGGATTTTAACAGTAGGATGTTTATTTTAGAAGTGTGAAATGATCAGGTAGCCTTATCACTTAGTCATACTGTATATTATGAAGGATTTTCTTGTTTCTTGTTTTCTTTTTCTGGTGGATTGAGTCAATGCAGCTGGTAAAATCTTTTCCACTTATATTATTGAGACATGTAGTTGACATGGTGTGAGGTGGGTAGGCAAGGGATGTATTCTTCCTATAGTTTCTCTGAGCAGGAAAGTGAAACTCTAGAGGCCCAAATCTGACTCTCACGGTGATCCTGGTGTGGCCTCTGAAATCTAAATGATGAGACTGGTCTACTGGCAAGGTCAGGTCGTGTGGTCATTTTCTTGTTCACCTTTGGATCACTAGGCTGTTAGCATTTAGCCAGAGGCAGTATTTGCATTTTGCTATATTTGGAAGATTGAGCGTGAGGGAGTCATTATTAGAACATTGTTAGAATGCTTGAGCCCTCTGAAAATGAGAAATCTCACATTTTCCTTCTACTTCGGCTCTCTGTTGGTGGGGAACACTTATGCTGTTCAAAACGTTGTTTGTTTATCTAATTCTCACTCTGGGTTCACATTAATGGCGTCGCATTGCTCTTGGGAACAATTCCATACTTCTTTAATGCTCATCCATACTATTTGCATATTATTCCCTACTGTTTGCAGTACTCACCAGAGCTTGACCCCTGTCTCTTTCAACAGTCTCATCTTTTTTTTTTTTTTTAATCTTTTCATTTCAATTCTATGCTCTGGGTACCCTGGATATCTTTGATTATTTCAGTTCCTTGCACTTGGCTTCTTTTCTGTTGCCTGGGCCTTTGCACATGCTGTTTCCCCTGGGCTGGAGCACTTTTCTGTCCTCTTCTTATAGCTACTTTCAGTCCTTTCAGTCTAGCTCCTCTGGGAGCCCCTTGCTGAGTCCTCCAGCAATTACTGTATATTTCTGCAGAATCCTCTTTTTCCCTGATAATGGGCTTATTACAATGCAATTACTTTTCATAGTCTGTCTTCTCTGGTAGACTGGATTCCTTTGGAAGGCAGGAACAAGAAGCTGGTTTAAATTACCGAAGTCTGATTTAAAAAACTTTTGTATTAGACTGTTGTTTTTCAGCATTTAAAAATGTATGAACTTGGGCCGGGCATGTTGGTTCATGCCTGTAATTTTAGCACCTTGGGAAGCTGAGTGGGTGGATCACTTGGGGCCAGGAGTTTGAGACCAGCCTGGCCTACATGGTGAAACCCCACCTTTACTAAAAATACAGAAGTTAGCTGAGCATGGAGGTACACACTTGTAATCCCAGCTACTCAGGAGGCTGAGGCAACAGAATGACTTGAACACAGGAGGCAAAGGCTAGATCATGTCATTGTACTCCAGCCTGGGCAACAGAGAGTCTGTCTCAATAATAATAATAATTTATGAACTCACTTCAGAGTAATACAAGTTGTGAACCCCCTCAGGAATTAAAAAAATAGTGTTACTTTTATGAACTATTATTTTTATAAATTATTATAAAGTTATGTAAAACATTTTTATATCAAGATTATTAAACGATTATGCAGCTTGCTCTAATATAGACTCTAACATTTAATAGCCTCCATTTTATATAAAGATGTTTTCTCATTTAATAGGTGATATGCACTACTTAATTTAAATTGATGATATGAGAGTATGATTTGTTTTAAAAAATTAATAAAATATTATGCTTAGTTTGAGATCAAATATACATTAAAATATAGTTGAAAATTTGTTTCCTAAAACATTTTTTTTTTTTTGAGATGGAGTGTTGCTCTGTCCCCCAGTCTGGAGTGGTGCAATCCCAGCTCACTGCAACCTCCACCTCCCAGGTTCAAGTGATTCTCCTGCCTCAACCTCTAGAGTATTTGGGATTATAGGTGTGCACCACTCTGCCTGGGTAATTCTTGTATTTTTAGTAGAGAAGAGGTTTTGCCATGTTGGCCAGGCTGGTCTCAAATCCTGGCCTCTAGTGATCCAGTGGCCTTGGCCTCCCAAAGTGCTGGGATTACAGATGTGAGCCACTGCACCTGGCCATATTTTTTAAAAATAAAAGAAACATGCTTTCTTGACCCAATGTTTGGAATTTTTGCATTTCACATTCTAAAATGCTTTCTTCTTATATTTAATTTCTAAGTTTTGTTTCTGCTTGGTGGGGGTTACCACAGACAGTTTCAGCTGCACATCTACAAGGGAGTAACACATTGTAGGTACGAAATGCAGTTTCTCTAACAGTTACAAAGCCAATTTGGATATGGTTCTTATATCTTAAGTCTTTAACATTGGATTTTGAAATACTAAAGATTTAATCAGATAAACATAATGCAGTGATGTGAAAATTAGCTATATGCAAACGGAATGACTTGATACTGTTTTATGTTTCTAATTGACAATTGGGCTTTATTAGTGTTCTTAGACATTTTGTTTTTAATCCATAGTTCACTACAATTGAACATCGTATGATACAAGACAAAATAAAAGCAGTGAAAAACTGTAGAATGCTTAAGCCATCTTGGCCTAAGTGGTGGTTGCTAGGGACTGCAGGAGGGGAGAATAGTAAGTTACTGTTTAATGGGTATGGAGGTTTATTTGGAGAAGATAAAAAAGTTCTGGAGATGGATGTTAGTGAGGGTTGCACAACAATTCATATGTAAGTAATACCATTGAACTGTACACTTAACATGGCTAAAATGGTAAATTTTATGTTTTATGTATATATATATATACACACACACCCATGTCTATATGTGTGTGCGTATATATATATATATATTTTTTTTTTTTTTGGCAGGAGGATGGAGTCTTGCTCTGTTGGCAGGCTGGAGTGCAGTGGCACAATCTTGGCTCACTGCCACCTCTGCCTCCTGGGTTCAAGCGATTCTCTGATTTCAGCCTCCCGAGTAACTGGGACCACAGGCGTGTGCCACCACACCCAGGTAATTTTTGTATTTTTAGTATACAGGGGATTTCACCATGTTGGCCAGGATGGTCTCGTTCTCTTGACCTCATGATCCACCCACCTCGGCCTCCCAATGTGCTGGGATTACAGGTGTGAGCCACTGCTCATGGCCTGTTTTATGTATTTTTAATAATCACAATTTTTAAAAACCGCCATGGTCTACTTATTGATGAGCTCATTGCCAGCAATCATTATGCACACTCACTAGCTGTACCAGCGGCTCTAGAATGCCCAATTTATTTCATTTTATTAATTTTTTTGAGACCGTCTTACTCTGTCGCCCAGGCTGGAGTACAGTGGTGCAGTCTTGGCCAACTGCAACCTCTGCCTCCTGGGTTCAAGGAATTCTCATGCTTGAGCCTCCCGAGCAGCTGGGGTGACAGGTATCTACCACCATGCCCAGCTAATTTTTGTATGCTTTAGTAGATTCATGGTTTTACCATGTTGGCCAGGCTGATCTCAAACTTCTGACCTCAAGTGATCTGCCCGCCTTGGCCTTCCAAAGTGCTGGGATTACAGATGTCAGCCACCGCGCCCAGTCTAAACTTCCCAATTTTAGAGGGATAATTGAGAAAACAATTGTTTAAAAAGGAAATGAAGGAGTTTCTATGACTGTGGTTATCAGTGTGAAGACCTAGAAAACCTGTGTGAACTGAGGGTTCACAGTCTAACTTCTTGCTCAAGAGCCTTAGAAATCTTAGATGTGTGTGTTAGGAGACCAGGTTCTGAAGCTTCCCAGGGTTATATAAACTCCTGCGTTGAGTTCCATGATGGCTGATGAGTAGTCCCACATTTCCACAGTAGACACACTATGGCTGCTTCCTTCCTTCTCATGAAAAGAGCAGAAGATGCAGATAATACCTGAAGCAGGAAGACAAAGGGGAGACACTGAACTTGTCGCCTACCTTTGGGTGCCCCTCACGCCTCAGGTTTCCTATTGAACCTATCTTATCAGTGACACAGGGAATGGTCCCTTTGCTCTCCATTTTTTTCTGTGGCTGCCTGGAGGTAGGGAAGGAAGATTGTGCAACTTGCTGACATGTTGCTGTGGATTAGTTGGGGGACAGGAACTGGAAGTTTTTCTTGCAGTGTATGTGTCACTGAGGCTCCTGGGGGTGGTTTTTAATCTTCTCACTGGTCTCTGTGATTCACCAGGGTAGTTTTTTTTTTTTTTTTTTTTTTTTTGAGATGGAGTTTCGCTCTTGTTACCCAGGCTGGAGTGCAATGGCGCGATCTCGGCTCACCGCAACCTCTGCCTCCCGGGTTCAGGCAATTCTCCTGCCTCAGCCTCCTGAGTAGCTGGGATTACTGGCACGCGCCACCATGCCCAGCTAATTTTTTGTATTTTTAGTAGAGACGGGGTTTCACCATGTTGACCAGGATGGTCTTGATCTCTTGACCTCGTGATCCACCGTCCTTGGCCTCCCAAAGAAGGGTAGTTTTAAATCTTCTCACTGGTCTCTGTGATTCTATGACCCTGGTTATTACATCTTCAGAGAGTGTCAGCTTATTTGAAAGTGATACTTTTTTTTTTCTTTTTGAGATGGAGTTTCACTCTTGTTGCCTAGGCTGGAGTGCAATGGCATGACCTTGGTTCACCACAGCCTCTGCCTCCCCGGTTCAAGCAATTATCCTGCCTCAGCCTCCTGAGTAGCTGGGATTATAGGCATGCACCACAACACCTGGCTAGTTTTGTATTTTTACTAGAGATGGGTTCTCTCCATGTTGGTCAGGCTGGTCTCGAACCCCTGATTTCAGGTGATCTGCCCGACTAGGCCTCCCAAAGTGCTGGGATTCCAAGTGTGAGCCACCGCATCCAGCCAATACTCTTATTTTCTATTCAGACATTGCCAAAGACCCTTAAACTTTTCTTTTAATTGAGACATTTTGGTATTTTTTATTTTTTTGGAGACAAGAGTCTCGCTCTTTCTAATGAACATGAAGGGACTCACAGTCTCTTCCCCTACAGTATATCCCTAATGACATATCAGTGAAGGATCATGTCTGAATGAATTCAAGAAGTTCACGACCTAAAAAAACGAAGGTCCCAGAAACTGGGGTTTGGTTTAATGACTTCATTTCTATTGGATTCAGCTTTCTCATGTGAATGGGAGAGGAAAGGAAGTGTTGGGATAAGTGTCATTCCACTGTCTGTACTTCTCATCTGGCTAACATGTGTATCAAATACTTAGATTTATTGACAGAAGTTCTCTGGAATGCTGTTTTGAATGATTCTGAGGAGGCTTATCAAGAAAGTGTGTTTAGTTGATTGGGTATATCTGTCACGGGGAAAAAAGTAAGCAGTGCGGAGCATCTGCAGCATTCCCGGGGCATTCCTGCCCATTATTTCAGTACCTTGTGTTGATGATTCCTGTCCCTTGTCAGGAGTCCTGACTGCTCTCTGTCTAATGACTCAAACTTACTGAGTGCTGTTTAGTTGCATCATAGATACCACCTGTCTTTGAACAGCTTCCCTGCCTCTTGATAGAATGCAAAAGCTGGCAGGGACTGTGGCTGTGTGGAATGGTCTTTGGTCATTTCTGCTTAGAACACAGAGGTCTGGCTCCAACCAGTGGAGATCAGACACAGCAGTAAGGACAACCTCAAATACATAAGGGATAAATATGTCTGCTTTTCCTTTGTTCTTTGTACTGTGGCAAGATGGCTAGTGAGGGTAGGCTTCCTGCAGTGCAGGAAGTAAAAGAAGTAAAAACTACTTTGCTGAGAAATCCTTTGTCTCAGTGCTAGTTTTTCTTAGTGGCACTGAGCATCTGTTTCCAGCAGAGCTGCAGTCATGGTAGTATCCCTTGCCCCTGCAGTTTCCCATCCTGTACTCAGTCATCTTTATCAGTGCAAGAATAGTGACCACCACCTCCACAGTGTTCAGAGGTACTGTGGTGGCTCGCAATATGCCTCAGTACTTGAATGAAGTTTAACTTGCTGGGTTTAATCCACTCTTGTGTTTCTGGGTCAGTCTTTTTAGTGACTAAATATTGATGATTGAGTGTCTTTTGTCGAGACAGAATTTTGCTCTTGTTGCTCAGGCTGGAGTGCGATGGCACAACCTTGACTCACTGCAACCTCTGCCTTTTGGGTTCAAGTGATACTCCTGCCTCAGTGTCCTGAGTAGTTGGGATTACAGGAATGCACCACCATGCCCGGCTAATTGATGTATTTTTAGTAGAGATGGGTTTCTCCAAGTTGGTCAGGCTGGTCTCGAACTCCTGACCTCAGGTGACCCACCCCCCCCCCCCAGGCCTCCCAAAGTGCTTGGATTACAGGCATGAGCCACCACACTCCACCTGATGATTTTCTTATTATATCTGTGCTTCTGCAGAATTTTAGTGGCTGAAGGAAGTACACTAGTGTTAATTTTCTTTTTCATGAAAGAAATAGTTTACTCTTCATACAGTTACTCGCCAATCATGGGAAGGAAAAGTCAGGATTTTCGTCCACAATGATAGGAATTATTGTAACATTACAGGATGACTCTGAATGCCTTTAGGAAAAACTTCTGGTCGTATTATGACTGTTTTTCTATCTGTGAGATCACCATTGTACTGGCTACTGTAACATTTCTTGGTTTTCTTTCTAGACCTGACCTAGTTATTTCCTACTTCTTTCCTGAAATGGCTGGTAAAATAAACACTGAAGATGGGAAATTACATGTACCTCGTATTATATTTCACTGCATGAAGACATTCTTTATCAGCATTCCTTAAACTATACAGAATCATTGGCCAATATCTATGTGGGACTTGTAGTTAGTTTCTTGGCTTTTTAAGGTATTTTAATTAATGGACCACTTTTTCTTTTTTTTTTTTTTTGAAATGAAAAGCATTTCACTGGAGGCTTCACATTTGCAGTCAGCCCCACTTCATTCATGTTTTTTGGCTTTGTTGAGCCCCTGTGGAGGATTACGCTACAAGTTTAATTCTGCAGCTTTCTTTGAAAAGAGCCTAACTGTATCAGTTTTAATACTCTGCTCTTTTAGAGCATCTCTTATATTTTTTCCTACAATACACTAAAGTAATTCTGTGCTTATTTTACAGCCTTACAGTCCCCTAAAAGACCATGAAACCCTGCGAGTAATGAAAAGATTCCTGAAATTGAGGTCACTGTGGAAGGTAAAGGCCAGTCCTTGGCATGTTTCTGTTAATTCTCCAGTTTAATAGTTGTGTCAGTTTGCTAGCTATAAGTTTATACAGATGAAGTTCACCAAACTAGTTTTCTGTGTGAACAGCTGCCCGTGATAAAGCTAAATTTCTGAATGTTTTTAATTGAAATTCTGAAAATCATTAACAGAAAATAAATAACATGGATCACATCATAAACTGCACTCAAAAAAAAAAAACCCTTAAATGGTTTTTATTTTATTATAATAAATAAGGGTGCAGAGGGTCACGTAGAATGTTTCTTCGTCTTCTGTCTTTTTTTTTCTATTCTCTTAAGGAAAGTTTAGAGGTACTTTAAATAGCAGTGCCTGGAATGAAAGTATTTCCTACAACACCCTATAATGTGCTTTCTTCTTTCTGTGCCCAGGAGGTCTGCCGGGTTCTCATTTTTTTACGTTTACAGTATTAAGATACTTCATATACTACCAAAGACAGTTCCCAAGCAACTATCAAATATGGGTATTTCTTACATCTCCTCATAAATGCAAAAGGAAATAACTGCACTAGGATTTTTTTTTTTTTTTTTTGAGACAGTCTCGCTCTGTCTCCCAGGCTGGAGTGCAGTGGTGTGATCTTGGCTCACTACAACCTCCGCCTCCTGGTTCAAGCAGTTCTCCTGCCTTTGCCTCCCAAATAGGTGGGACTACAGGTACCTGCTGCCATACTCAGCTAATTTTTTGTATTTAGCTGTTTTATTCACTCAGCATGTTGCCCAAGCTCATCTCAAACTCCTGAGCTCAGGCAATCTGCCCGCTTGGCCTCCCAAAGTACTAGGATTACAGGCGTGAGTTACAGCACCTGATGTATGGTATATGATCATTCTTTATGTCCTAGGTGTCAAGTTTGAAATAAGAATTTTCAGTACTTGCGTTTAGTGGTGCTGTAGTCCTCATTGAGTCATCTGTATACTCATGAGACTACAGCACATGACTGAGTATACCTCACAGAGGGTATGCCAGATAACTAAATTGGGACTAGAGCGAGTATTTAAAGTCTTCATTTATTGATCCTGCTAAAGGAAAGCTTACTTAATAACATAAACTTTTGGTTATGAATTAGATTCTTCTGAAAGCTTGTAGGCATCTTTAAGCAACTTAATACCAGATTATTTCTGTTCAACATATGACAAGAATTAAAAATGTATTCAAACCTTTACTTTTCTCCTTTTGGAAGAAATCAGAGGATCAGAGATCTCTTCTAAACATGGGGTGCCATCCTTTCCTGAGGGACCTCCTTGTAAAGTGCATGAGGTGTTTCTTTTGGTAAAAAGACACACTGTGTGACCACACACACCTGAGCCTGAACCTATAAAGATTTGAACAAGGTGAACAATGACACTGTGTAAAAGGGGGGTTAATGTCAAGGTAGCTGGAACTTTATGGAGAAGATTATTTTAAAATTAGGCCTTGCTGAAAGAGGAGAATGTCACCAGGCAGAGACAAAGCTACTCCTGATAGAAGGAACAGCATGAGTAAAAGCACAGATTAAATAAAGTCCAGGCAACGATAACAATCTCATGTTTAGGGAGCATGGTCCTATATGTTGTTCCAACTATATCTGGTATCTCAGGAAGTTTAGAGTTAGAAGAAGTCCTGGGACCAGCTGGTTCTAGGGTTATAGTAGTTGTACCATAAAGCGATTGTTCCGTGCTGTGTTCAATTGATACATTGGTGAGGGAAGCAACTGAAGAAGTAATGGCCCCCAAGCTTCATGAAGATGGTGAGATGAGAGGTCATGAGGACCATGGCGTTCAGAAGGAAAGGTGGGGCAGTGAGAAGACAAGCAGTCCCAAAGCCCAGTAACACATTCTTAGGGTAAGAGGCAGAGGGGAAGGTGTTTTATAGCATGGTATCACATTCTGCAGAAGCACTGAGGTCTGCACAAGACAGTATTTTAAAGGAGACTATTCCCCCGGGGCTCACTGACCCAGCACTCTCTGCAAGTGAGCCCTGGGGAAATAAGTCTTCTTTAAAATATTCTGGACAGAGGGCAGCTGCTAGCAAAGTAACTCTGATTGCTACGCTTTGCCTCCCCTCCTAACTCCAGTATAACGTTACCTTGTTTATGCTGGTGCTCTGATAGAAGTCTGTGGATGCTGGATATTAAGATTGGGGAGAAAGTAAAACAGCCAGTTAATGTGCACCATGTTTACAGGCACTGTCAGTAGCATATAAGAAATAGCATGTTTCTCTCTCAAAAGTAAATTAGTTCATAGTAATCAGTTGGCACATTTGGTGTGCAGTTCTATGAGGTTTTTTTGGGTATCTTTAAAGTCTTCCTATATTGATCCTGTTAACCCAAAGCTTATTTAATAACATAAGCTCTTGGTTACCAATTAGATGTTAGGAAAAGTAGAGAAATGAAGAGCTAATGTAATGAGTTAAAGGGATTGGAGCTGTAGAAATGCCGTTACCAGGAGCAATGTTCCCGGGAATTAGGATTGTTTGCTGCTGCAGCCAGCTGTGATTTCCCAGATAAGGAGAACGATGCATGCTAAATCCATTACAAATGCCCATCATCTTTCTTTACATGGCTTCTAGTGAAAAATTCCTAAGTGCCTAAATAGCAGGTGGTCTGAAATGATAGCAGCTGTTTATTAAAGAAATAACATCTCAATTTTTGAAAACCATGAGTCAAATATTATTTTCCCCCTCCCATTTTACAGGTTTGCAACCTATAGAACAGAGAATTAAAGTAATTTTTCTAAGTGGCAGAGCACAGATATAAATTTTATCACTTTGGCCTCAGAGTTTGTTGTGCTTTATTTCATTTTATTTTATTTTTATTACTATATTTCGAGATGGAATCTTTCTCTGTCGCCCAGGCTGGAGTGCAGTGGTGTAATCCCTGCTCACCACAATCTCCACGTTTTGGGTTCAGGTGATTCTTCTGCCTCAGCCTCCTGAGTAATTGGGACTGCAGGCATGTGCAACCATGCCTGGCTAATTTTTGTATTTTTAGTAGAGATGGAGTTACACCATGCTGGCCAGGCTGGTTTTGAACTTCTGACCTCGTGATCCACCCACCTCGGCCTCCCAAAGTGTTGGAATTAGAGGTGTGAGCTACCATGCCCAGCCGTAATTTTATTATTTTAAAATTCATCTTTTATTTTTAAGCAACAGCCTGTTTTCTCACCTAAAAATAATGGTGTATATGTGCCACATTTTTTTTTGGTCCAGTCTGTCATCATGGAATAATATGTAGCCATAAAAAACGATGAGTTCGTGTCCTTTGTAGAGACATGGATGAACCTAGAAACCATCATTCTCAGTAAACTGACACAAGAACAGAAAACCAAACACCGTATATTTTCACTCAGGCGGGTGATGAACAATGAGAACACTTGGGCACAGGGAAGGGAACAACACTCACAGGGCTAGGTGAGCAGGGGAGGTGGAGGGGAGGGGAGGGACAGCATGGGGGTGGCGGGAGGATGGGGAGGGATAACACTAGGAGAAATACCTGACATAGGCGAAGCGGGTGGTGGGGACGGAGACAGCAAACCACCGTGGCATGTATATACCTATGCCACAATCCTGCAGGATGCAGGATGTACGTGTGTACCCCAGAGCCCAAATACAATAAAAGAACAGAAAAAAAAAAATAATTGTGCAGGTAGGCTGAGGCTGACATTGTTTCAGTTGCTCAAAGAAGATAAGACTGCCTTCCCTGTGCTTCTCTTCACTTTTCTTTCTGGTGCACGGTGACCAAGGGAGCTCCTGTTATGTCTCCATCCAAGCAGGACATACATAAGTAAAGAAAATGCACCGTGAGCCCTGCCGGCACCCGTGGTCAGGAAAAGCAAGAGGCTTTTTTCGAATCCTAGTAGAATTTCACTTAAGTCTCTTGGTCTTAAAAAAGATGAATTTTAAAAGAATAAAGCACAAACTCTGAGACCAAAGTGAGAGGATTTTTAAATCTGTGCTCTGCCACTTAGAGAAATTACTTCAATTCTCTGTCCTTTAGGCTGCACACTTGTAAAATGGGAGGAGGGAAAGCAATATTTGACTCATGGATTTTTAAGATTGAGATGTTATTTCTTTATAATAAACAGCTGCTATCAATTCAGACCACTTGCTATTTAGGCCCTTAGGAATTTTTCACTAGAAGGCATGTAAAGAAAGACGAGCATTTGTAATGGATTTAACATTCATCATTTGACTGCGTGACTGATCCCCAGAGCTGTAATTTTACTAACAAATTTTTCGGAAGCCAGTTAGCAACTGAACCTCACCAGCCAGCCACCTTCAACATTCAGTGCTCTTTTGTTCTTCTGTTTCTCCTCAAACTTGGTTACTCTCACAAAGTATATAAACTTGGATTTCTTTTCTGTCCTTTTTCTTTGCTCCGTCACTCAGGCTGCAGTGCAGAATCATGGCTTGCTGTAGTTTCAAACTCAATTCATACTCCCACCTCAGCCTCCCAGGTAGCTGGGACTGCAGACGTACACCACCATGCAAAGCTAATTTTTTGATTTTTTTGTTGTAGAGATGGACTTATGCTGTGTCACCCAGGATGGTCTTTAACTCCTGGCCCCAAGTGGTCCTCTGGCCTCAGCCTCCCAAAGTTCTGGGATTATGTGCAGGTATAAGCCACCTGTGCCCAGCCCCCTATTTATTTTAAATGACAGTTTTGTTGAAACATAGTTAACATACCTTACAATTGATTCATCAAAGATTGCAATTCAGTGGTCTTTAGAGTATTCATGGAGCTGTGCATCTGTCACCACAATCAATTTTAGAAGCTTTCACTACCCTATAGAGAAATCTACATTTCTTTGCCACTAGTTCCTACTCCCCCTATACCCCTGTGCTCCCATAGGCAACCGCTGATCTATTTTCTGTCACTATAGCGTTGCATCATCTGGACCTTTTATATAAATAGGGTTGTGCAATATGTGGGGATCTTTGGTGGCTGGCTTTTTTTTTTTTTTTTTTTCACTCCTAGCACAA